GCAAAGTTTGATAAGTATACTATTTCTAGTCCAAAAGGCATTGGATCCAAAGGGCCACACAGTTCAAAAGGAACCATGGAATAAAGGGAACTTTTGGAGAGAAAACAGATCTTCAAAAGGTTCATTCTACTGAAAAGCAGTGATTAGGATCATTTTGGTGATAATAGTGGAATATTCCCATATATAAAGGAGCAGACGCATCAAGCAAGAATTTTGATTGGCGTGGTAAGTCGTACATGTAGACTCCGTTTATTTCGCGAAAAATGAATGATTTGAAAAATATTTTTTCTAGAAGTGATCGCTCATGTCGCTTGCAATAATTAGCCAATGAAAAAACATTTCATCGTCGATAGAAATTAGGTCTAAATATTTTCGTGAACGATGAAAAGTATTTTATTCATTCATTTTTGTAAGCGACATTGGAAAAAAGTTTTCCAAATTATTAATAGGTCGCGCTTTTTCCACTCCCATTTTGGCTAAAACACTCCTCAACGTGATAATCTGACTATATTGCCCTTTGTGGTCTCACTTTTTAGCATTTATCTTTTGCCAATGTTTTAAGAAAGTGTTGTAACATTTTCTCATCGTGTCCCTTTTCTTTTATTTATTTTCTATTTTTTTGTGGGTTCCACTTTCATTTTCCTTGTCTTCTTCCTTTTCTACATTTTCTCTCATGTAACCACTCAAAGCAATATAGTGGTAGAGAAATGGAGATTTCCATGCTTGTGTAGGCAGAGGCAACTGAACTGGTTTTCATGACTCACGACAATACCTTGTTGAGCTGCCTGAGTGAAGGCTTTGCGCTACATGTCTTATGACAGCAAGGGGATGGTGTTCGCGAAGAGTGGCGCATACTAGTGGGGCATGAGGAGGTTGTGCACTCTGCATTTGATGAGGTTGGTGAAGGTGGAGTAGTTCGCGCCGATGAGAAGGCCGAGCTGGGAAGGGTGATAGGGAGGTTGAGGGCATACTCTCTGCAATTTAAAACACTTCATCTAAAAACCCTTCTACGCACAAAAGCAGCTTTGCTCACAATCAATTTTCTCGCTTTCTCCCCATCTAGCTATCGAAAATATCCATCGACCAATTTGCTAAATTTCCTCGTAAAGAGCATGAATTACATTGAGGTTAAGCGAATAAAATCAGTAGCAGCAGAGACAGAGGTGGTCAAGGAGGAGGGCTTCGTCGATGTCCCGGTGGCGGGTTGATGTGGCTCTGCCTAGGATATGCGAGCACAAGGATGTGACCTTCATAATTCTCCATTTCTCTGCCTCTTGAGAGAGAACAGAGTTTGACAAAAAAAAAATAGAGAACATAGAGGAGAACAAAATTGAGGAAAGTGAATGCGGAACCCATAATAAAGAAATAGGAAATCAATTAAAAAAGAGGGACAAATGGATGCTAAAAAGTGGGTCCCACAAATGTCAATATTGTCATAACATTATCTGAAGGAGTGTTTTAGTTATAGAAGGAGTAAAAAAAGTGCGACCCTTATTAATTATTTGCAAAACAAACGGAGCCGTAATTAATTCACCATTATTTTGTCAAAAGGATGATAAATATTTAAATGATTTTGTAGGAATCTTTAAAAATTTTAGATGGAGTTGTTCAAACCTGCGCATACATACTATGAATTAACCTTAAAATTCCTCAATATATTAAGGAAGAAAGCCACGAAAATTTTTAAATAATGCTCATTGTGACACGTTTACCTTGTTGTGATGTCAAGAATCCCAAATTATGCCTATTGTGATATATTACTCTAAACTTTTTCTTGTGACATAAAAAACCCGAAACTTGTACCCATGTGGCATATTAACCCCTTGTCAAGACTTTCGTTAGATGATTTTCCAGCCAAAATAAACGTTATTTTTATTTCACTTAAACTACATGGGTGTCATATTAACACCGTTTGTTTTTCGATATCTATATAGACAGATTTTTAACTGTTCTCATAAACAGAATTTTGACATAAAGTAAATGTGTCACACAATTATTAGCTTGGGATTTTTGGTGTCACAAAAAAAATGAGAATAAATTTGTCACAGCGAGCATAAATTGGAGTTTTTTGTGGTTTTTGCCCATATATTAAACAGCTTACTGTTGGTATTAAGTTACTATCAAATTATTCCTATTTCTCTATTTCTAGAAAATATATTTTATTACAGTTAAATAGTTTTCTATAACCTTTCCATGACAAAAGCAGGAAGTATTTCGAGAAATGATAAAGAAACGATATTTGGCTTGATAAATCGAATTAATTAATTATGTCTGTTATGCTTATATTATATCATAAGTTATAACTCTTATACCTGATTATGGGCCGGGCCATCCATGGGCCCATCAAAGGTAGCCTAGCCCGTAATAGCCTAGCCCGTAATAAGAATGGCATCCCCATTCTCATAAGACGATTCAAAGTCAAATGGTGGGATGGTTTCAAATTTTTTGATAGGGTCTCCAAGCAAGCCGTCTCAGAATGGCTGTTTTTAAGGAGCAATGCTCCAAACACTTCTGAAGATATCACCCCCTTTCTACATGACAAAGGGTTTGTACTTTCTAAATTAGCATCTGCTAAGTCTCATCAGCAGCTAGCCGGGATGCTAAAACAAGCTCTTTCCGAAATTGAAGAAACCAGTTCTTCTCATTCCCATCATAGTGGCAATTCAAATGAAGATGACTGCTATGGGATCCCATGATTTACTCCCATTCCTCACAACTGGGCAAGTGTGAAGGACGAAGAAGAAGAAGAAGAGCCCGAACCAAGTGGAAGATCTCTCCGATTCTCCTAAGGACAAGGCGCCGAAAGACTCCTGGCTGTTTTCATAATTTCTAAGCCGAAAGAAGTCTGTCAACTTTTTCTTTTCTCAAAACTTTCATAATTATGTTCGGTCATTGTTCACTGTAATACTGTGCACTTACTACTATTTGCTACAGTACACCCATGAACTATTTCTACAGGAACCCAGTTTGCTTATATAAACAGACCTCACTCACTTGAAGAGGTAGAACTTCTTCAGACCCTTTCTCTCTGAGTTCAAAACTTCTCCAACTTCCCCAGATCTCTCCAAGCCTCCTTCGAGAGAATAAGAGATCTCATATCTCAAACCTTTCTAGAACCTTTCATATCCAGTAAGTTTCTGATCCCTGTTCAGAATTTTCGTATTATCCTATAGATCTTAGTTTCCTTTCGAGAAATATAGTCTGCAGACATCTGCTAGAACTATTCTTAGGAAACACAAAGTTTCATTCGAAACTCCATAAGATCCATCACTTTCTACCAAAGAAATTTTCTTACAACTGCACTTGTACTTCAATATCTACATTCTGTAACCTTTCACTACTGTTATTGTAATCTTTCAATATTATTTATATATCAGTTATTTCTCTAATTCCTTCTTGCATTTACATACTACATACCCCACAAACGGTAGGTCGAACCGCTTGTGGAAGGTCTGTACTTTAAATTAAAGCAGTTCTCTGCAATTGTTATATATCCTTACTTCTTCTTACCGTTTTACCCTTTTCTTCCTTGCTTAGCAATACCACCTACATGGTTGGTCTAGAATTTCTAGCAATTCTTCTTATAGTTCTATATATTGCTTATGGTCTTTACATAGCTTATAATGTTCGTTATTTTATTTTATTTTATTTATTTAATAATTTTCTGCGTAGAAATCTGCACGTTTATATTAGGATATATTTTCAACGTTGCTAGAACCACAAGCATATCCCATATCCATTATTTATTTTCTCAATATATTAGATATTTCAATTATTTGGAACGACGATTAAATATAACATATATTTTTGTTGCACTATTCTTTCTATTGCAATTTCCCGGATTCCTTTCTAATAAGCGAAAACGTACAGATTGATTGATTTCCTTCTATAATAGTTTACTCTCTAATTATAATCCCCAGATCCTCGGTCACTTATGGTATATATATATATATATTAATCTAAACGTCATCGCTAGTGATTATTAAAATAAGAGTGAAAGAGTTCGGTTGCTTCTACGTCTAAGAAATAATCAATGAAGTCTATGATTTCGTAAGCGGTTTCTGCCTGTGGTGATTAGTATTTTTTTTCAATTGATATGAAACTTATCAAGAGATTAACTAAAATGAAACTAAAATAATTCATAAACGCAAAAGTACATTAGCCAGAAAGCAAATGAGGAAATATAAAATGATTAATCAGATGAGACGGAAATACGATGGAGTTCAAGTCCAGAAGGGAAGCTGCGGGAAACAGCAAGAATGGAGAGCAGTTTACTATCTACACCATCAAGAGGGTGGTCAATGGAGAAAAGGTGAGGGAAAGTCTACGAGACTTCATAGATTCTTTGCTCGAGGATGAGAATTTGTTGGGCTTGGCATTTTCCATGTTAGATCTTGAGAAAAGATACGTTATTAGCGATCCGAATATTTGCCCTGAAATGACCAATGTTTGCATCTTCGTCGCACAATTAAATTTATCTAACGAGCTTGAATTTCTAAGACAAAATCGTTCCTAATAGCCATTTATGCTGAATTTCCACACCGACATCCACGTCGGGCGAGACGCTTGCCTCGTGTGTTTCCCCATCAGCAATCTAACGCGATATTGGACAAAAATTAATTAGGGAAAATAAGATTTTTTCGCTATACATAAATTAGTTTATGATAAATGCGTCGCGGACATATCATTTTGAAATTTTCTATAACATTGTTCTGGCTGGAGGAACGAATATGTTACGGGTGTACAAATTTGAGATTTTTATCGGAATTATCTCAAAATAAAATAAAAATAAAAGAGGAAGAAAATCGGGGTTGAAAAAAAAAACAGCCGTAGCCCCTGCTCAGTCAAAGCCCTAGCTCAATCCCAGAAGCAGCTCTCTCCCTCCAACTCCTCCTCCTCCTCCTCCTCCTCTTCTTCTTCTTCTTCTTCTTCGTAGCAAAGCTCGCGTTCGTTAGAGTTCACGCCATCGACCGACGGTCAGTGCTCCAGCTTCAAGCTTCAATCTTTTCGCTCGTTTCGATTTCTCTGTTAAATGCGCGCGATACCCATTTCGTTGTTTCTCTCGCTATGTTAATTTTTTTTTTCTTCTGTCATTTCTTGCAATCGTTCGATGAATCTTTGTTTCGAGAATGTTGGTCGATGGAACCTGTCGCCGTCGTAGTTACGGTCGCTTGTTTCTCCCTGTACAGATACTTTGGTCGTCCTCCCTCTTGTCTCCCACTCATCAGCAGGTCAGTTATCTGTCGCTGCTGCCAAAAATTTCAATCTTTTTCCGTTGTCGGGGATATGAATTTGAAGCATTTAGTGTCCAGACGAACGATCGATAGTTTGTCTAGACTGAATCATGCGAGAACACTGTCGCGAATTGCCTGTTCTCAAAGAAGCGTCTTTTGCGTCCATTCGCGGGTGTCTCCTCCTAGACGCGAACCGTGTGGTGGTGGGAAGAATGCTTCCTTCAATGACCCGAAACGCCCCGGTTTTAGCGTCACCTTCGGTAGGAGCATCCACGCTCTGCAAGAAGCTAATGTGATCGATTCTGAGGATGATGATGGGACCATGAATGAGTACTTGTCCCGTTTTGTCTGGATTATGCGCGGAAAGCTCGATGAAGCTTACCCAGATAGTGATAAGCAGACGGTCAATGGGATGCTATTGATCATTGTTGAGAACGTGGTGGCCGAGATGGAAAAAGGTGGCCTGCAGAGTAAGACCAGCGGCGACGCAACCCTTCCTTCCCAAGATTTCAGTGAGGATTTGTGGAAAACAGTGTGGGAGGTCAGTAATAAGGTTTTGGAGGATATGGAGAAAGAGAGGAAGAAGGAAAAGATGAAGGGGTTTATGCAAGATGAAGAAGTTAAGGAAATGTGTAGATTTGCGGCCGAGGTGGGGATTCGTGGGGATATGTTGAGAGAGCTGAGGTTCAAATGGGCACAAGAGAAGATGGAGGAGAAGGAATTTTACCGGAGTTTGGAGCATTTAAGAGAAGAAGCACTGAAAGAGGAAAAAGAAGACGCAGGGGACAGTGACAAGGCTGAAGCTATTGGAGTGGATATTGCGGTTGGTGATGGTAAACCTAAGGTTGTTTCTCTTCCAAAAAGACGTGGAAAGTTCAATTACAAGATATATGGACTCGATCTTTCAGACCCAAAATGGGCTGAAGTGGCTGACAAGATCCATCAGTCTGAGGAGATCACTTGGCCGCGGGAAACTAAGCCAATTTCTGGTAAAAGCAAGCTCGTGACTGAAAAGATTCTTTCGATGAAAGATGAGGATGACCCTTCCCCACTTTTGGCTGAATGGGTGGAGCTTATGCAACCTAATAGGGTTGATTGGACAGCTCTCCTCGATAGACTGAAAGAACAAAATCCGCGCATGTATTTAAAGGTCAGGATTCTTCATCTCGGAATTTTAGTTTATAGTGATGGTATGCCAGTACCAATACTAGACCAAATATTCATGGCGGGATGGCTTGCAGATTGTTTTTTGGATTACCCGTTTCCATGATCATTCCGGGAATTTTCTCTCTCTGCTGTCTGTGGATTGCGCATGCGTATTATATTGTCTTATGGATCTTCTGCTTAAATTCCATATTGTCGTTGAACATGAATTGCCAATCTGATGATTGGATAGGATATGTAAACAGAGAACTTGATTTTTACGGTCACTAGAGGACAGTATAGGGCTGTTGTGACCAGACAACATGCAATCATATCTTTCGTTGAAATATTTGGCTTGATGCGTAGTTTTTTATTCTTATATACATTAAAGTGCATCAAGGGGTGCCTTCCATTTACAACCTAGACTTAAAAAAATATGTAAAAGATTCTGGGAAAGACTGAGTGTTCAAAGAGCTACCAACACAATGCAAAACAATAAGGTGGTAGGCAAATTGTTAGCTACAACAATTATAGGACTTCCCTCAATTTTGAAATCCCTCCCGTATCTTTCCTTCTGTATAACCCGAAAATCTTCAGATTTACAACCTATTTCTTTCCACTGCTAGATGTACGTGAGTCCAAGTGTTCAGCTTTAGCGCATTTACCTCAAATCCTTATTTCTAGCAGCACTTTTGCTCTGGTTCTTAATAATTTATGAAAGGGCATCTCAAGCATCATTCAAGAGTAACATTTGGTTCTTGCTCTGAAGGCTAGGGCTGTTTCTTATCTGAGACACGACTTGTGGCACTTTGTATTTTGTACGTTGAGAGCTGCACACTTTCTGCAGTGCTTGGTTCCTGCTGATTTCTTCTCCCTGTGCCAAGTAGAGTCAGTATGTATCACTCGAGATAGATGATAAGTACTCACTTATTGTAATAATAGCCAAGAAGTGAAAAATATGTATTAAGATCCATTGTTCTCTCGAACAGATAAACCTTTGTACAAATTCACCTTCTGATGTTTCATCAGCAGATTATACATCAGAGAGCATCTTCTTGAGGAATTTCATCACTGCCGTGGTCAGGTCACTGGTTGAGTCTTATCTTACTGAATATTTACTGTATGGGGAAAAGGTTTGGCCTTAGTGGTATCCACCTTCGTAACTGTGACGATCCAAGAGATCTTGGGTTTGATTTCGATCTTCCCCCTCTCCCTACTGGCCTCTCAAACAATAATCAGGTAGAGAATGGTTCTTCCTTGAAGGAGTGACATAGATTGAAGCGCATTTCACGTGGATATTACCACTAGCTTGCTTGCTCGATTCTATAACACTATCCATTCTATAAAGACATTAGAAGGGAAGAAAAGAGCATGTCAATAAGCATAGTCTAAATAAGATTGCCATTTTCCCCTACCAGTTATACTTCCATTTAGCGGTAACTTCACATGAAGATTATCTAAACTGGGTAGGTTGACTGATTGATGAAATTAAAAGTCTAAATCTATATAATAAAGTGATATCGTAAGTTCATTCATTCAAGAATTGTGACATCTAACAAAAACTAAAACCTTTGTATTTTGACAATTCGGGAATCCTGTCTTTCTTTTTGGTTTTATCTTGTTCATCTTGCCATCGGTTAAAGGTTTTCCTCTTAACTGTTTCAGTTTTCTGAATGGTAATAACTAAAGGCTAATCAAAACTCCAGAAGAGTACTAAAAGCGACTTTAGTTCTCGAATTTATCTCTATATTTAAGCTTTAAAGAAACTCTTTTTGTAAACTTTGAGGCTAATAAAGCTCCAGAAGAAAGCATGCAGGGGGAAACTTATGTTTCCTTAAACATCTCCGTAAGCCATAAAAAAAACTCTGTCCCTGACTTTGTTCCTAAACCTCAAGAACAGGAAGCGTGTTTGGCTATTTATGTTTATCTTTTGTTTTTCATTGATCGCTACATCTTTTAATCATTGTGAAAGGTGGGAGAGCTGTCACAAACTGGGAGGGTCACATGTCAACTCCTCAGTGGCTTTCCACTGTGCAGCATAATATACATAGGCAGTATTACATTAGATTAGATTAGTTGGATCAAAATTTTAGTAAGGAAAATACCTACTTTAGCAAGTGTTGATTTTCTATCTGACATCACTAATTCTTAAATGAATGAAATTCGAGAAGAAACACTCACCTGACCTTTACTGCATTAAGCTCATCCATTGTCACTTGTTTGCATCATATAAAGTTAGTCCTTGGTAGTTGAACGTTTAGAGCTTTACCAAGGGCAAGATTTTCCTTTTCAATTACAGTACTGCAGTGCGATGCCATCAGTGGACCTGCTTATTTAAAGTTCAAGATCTCAATTCGGTAATTTTTTAGTATTTTGGCATGTAGGTAGCAGAACATTTATTGAATGAAGAGTCTTTCCAAGCAAATGTTCGCGATTATTCGAAGCTTATTGATGCCTATGCTAAAGATACCAGCCTCGAAGATGCGGAGAGAATCCTCGAGAAGATGTATGAAAATGGTATCCCACTAGATATTCTGACGGCTACCATTCTTGTTCAAATGCATTGTAAGGCAGGGAAACTTGACCGAGCTCAGGAAGCATTTGAAAGTTTAACGAAACAAGGCTTCCGACCAGATGTGAAGGTCTACAACTCGATGATCATGGCTTATGCAAACGCTGGCAAGCCAGAGATGGGTGAGCACTTAATCAGAGAGATGGAGGCGAGAGACATGAAACCCTCAGAGGAGATTTACATGGCATTGCTTAGGTCATTTGCCCAAGATGATAATGGTAAAGTTGCTGTTGATGGAGCCAACAGAATCACTACTACCATGCAGTTTGCCGGGTTCCAGCCAAGTTTGGAGTCTTGCACATTGCTTGTTGAGGCATATGGGCAGGCAAAAGACCCAGATACGGCGAGAAGCAATTTCGATTACATGATAAAATTGGGACACAAGCCTGATGACAGGTGTACAGCTAGCATGATTGCGGCTTATATGAAGAAAAATTATCTGGATAAGGCCTTGACTCTTCTATTGCAACTGGAAAAGGATGGTTTTGAACCTGGAGTCCATACTTACGCAGTCCTTGTAGATTGGTTGGGGAAGCTGCAATTGATTGATGAAGCAGAGCAAGTATTGGATAAAATAGCACTACAAGGCGAGGCTCCTCCTCTTAAGGTTCACATAAGCCTCTGTGACATGTACTCGAGGGCCGGCATGGAAAAGAAGGCTCTTCAAACTCTTGGTGCTATTGAGGCTAAGAAGGAGCAGTTGAATTCGCATGATTTTGAAAGAGTTGTGAATGGGCTTATAGCCGGTGGCTTCATTCAGGAAGCTCAGAGGATGCGTGTGTTGATGGAAACGCAGGGTTTTGCGCCACCAGAGTCGCTTCAGGTCGCTTTGTTGGCATCTCAAACTTTTGGCCGCAAGAGACCCGGTTTAAGATGAGAGCTGCTGGTGTCACTGGTGTATCTCAAGTGTTTGGCCAGACGACGAAGCACGCTCAAGACTCCTTGTAATGGCTGGATTAGTTAGTTACCTGGGTTGAGTTGGACACTGATGTCGTGAAATGTAGCCAATCAAACTGTGGAGTGTCCATGATATCAAGAGCTCTACTTTGCTTGTAATCTTTGCAGGATTCACATTTTATTTTGCCTGTTTTGCTTCTTCCTTTCTGATGGTCCAGTGATTTAGTTGACAGGTTTTTGTGTTCGTAATCAGGGCAGGTTGTTTTGGCAACACTATCTTATGGGGCTCAAAGTAGCTCACATGTTGCGTCTCTTTAGGGAACAGAAATAATCGGAGTGATACCTCTAGTCTCTATACAAATTCATGCTTCAGCTTTTTGTGAGCTGTCTTTTGCTAATTTTTCCTCGTGACTGCTACAGATGGATATCTAGTTTAGCATGCAATTGTGTTGGATCTGATGCCACACTGCTGTATGCATTCCCCATCCGTTGTGCCAAGCAGCCAAAGAGACATCGAAAAATCGTATAAACTCTACTTACTCAGAAAAGAATGAAGCTTTGTAATATACAGACACGCTTTCGCACGTTTATTGGGCAGATCGAAGCAAGTTCCTTTCTTGGATGACTGGATGGAGGGAAGGAATATTGCAAAGGATGATTCCCAGTGACAAGAAGAAATGAAAAGACGTATAAACTATACTTACTCAGAAAAGAATGAAGCCTTAGGATACAGGGCACGTTTGCAAACATATATTTTGCAGATGCGAGATATTAGAGCCGATCTACATATTTGAGCAGTCCAACCAGACGATATCGATAATCGAAGCAAGTTCCTTTCTTGGATGACTGGATCGAGGGAAGGAATATTGCGAAGATGTCGAGCTGCTATTTGAATATGCCTTTTCTGTTTGCATGTAGCGGATGGTTTTCCTAGTGACAAGAAATGTATATGATCGTATGGTGTCTAAAGCAAATAGGGGATTGAAAAGAAGGAACTTCTCCTGTTCTTTTCAAATTTTCTTCACGGAAAAGGCAAATCCAAAGCAAAGCGGTTGATATGCTAAACCTCCCAGAGAAGGTAACATAGAGGCAAAGCATCCCATGTAACTCAAAAACCAAAAGAAAGCTTTTGCACATCTGAGAGGCAAAGAAGCTCAGAGAGAGTGTCTCCGAAGAAAATTGCACCACAAAAATCCCAAGAGTTTTCTCAAGTATCCTGAAGAAACCTGCGTATATATATAAGAGGAATACTCTCAAACCCATGTGCATCTAGTCTGCAGACCAAATATCAATCTCTTCTCATTCACCAGAGCTTGTTCACTTCTCTAGTCACACATGGCTGAACAACGACAACCGTTGTTCCGCTTCCGCGTCCCATGGCTTTCAGGGACTTCCGCTTCCCGTGCCAGGACCGGAACCCAACCTCCTCGCCCCACAAATGGAAGTACGGCCCCTTCCCAGCCAACGGCCTCCACTTCTGTTCCCCGTCCACCATTTAGACCTGCTGGAATAGCCCAACCGCCGCCGCCGTCACCCCCTTCCCCTCCAGCCCGAGTCCCAACGCCACCTAGGCCATTATCTCAACCACAATCTCCACCAATACCACGTGCAGCCCCAGATTCCACCATCGCTCCTAAACTCGAAGAGCCAACCCTAATGGCAGATCGTCCACAAGCCGCATCCTCGCCACCGAGACAATCTTCAGCAGTGCCCCGAATTCCGCCTACCTCTCCCCAAGTCCAAAAGCCGCCCGAGGTAACATTACAACCTCAATCACCGATTCCTGCGGCCCCCGTAGCCAGCGCTGCTTCTCAGCCGACAACACCAACGCTGGCAAGACCTCAACTGAAGGCCCCATCCTTGCCTCCGTCGCCTTCACCTAAACCTTCATCTCGTGGACCTTTCCTGCCCCGTTCAGGAGAGGAAACAGTGGCTGAACCTCAACCTTCTCTGTTGGCTCCCGAGCCGCCTAAAGAAACATTACCACAAACCTCTTCTCCGGCTCAGAAGGCAACTCCGCCGCTCCCAGAATCGGCAGCATCTTTGCCTCCACCACCCGCTGAAAAGAGCTTGTTGCAAACTCCCATTTCTCAACCGCCATTGGAACCTCCACCGAAAGCAGAAATCAAAGATGAAAGTATCTCCAGGCCAGGAAATGACTATACCATCGAGGCTCCAGCAAAGCGTGATGCAACAACGATGCAGGTATCCCCTCTCACCAGAAGCGCAACTGCTAATATAGCCAAGATTGAGCCACCACCCCAGTCGGAGAGACTCGATCCCATGAGTACGAGAGGTGTTCATCCCGGTCTGTCAGGTAAAGTATCAGAAGAAGCTAAGGAAGCGAAGAATGACGAGGAACAATTCCCAAAACAAGAAAGGATTAGAAGCCAGGACAGCGAAGAAACGCTCCAGGGGACACTAACAGCAGGATCGAGGCTAGATACGCAAACCAAAGAGCCACCAACTGTTCCATCACCAGGAGAGCAGAAGCAGAAGCAAGAAACTCCCGAGGTGGCGTCAGCGACTACCGCTTCCGGTTCTCGTGGAAAGCACACCAAAGCTCTTAAAAGTACACAATTTCCTAAAGGAAGGCACATGGTTAGTGAGTCTCATGACAAACCTGTCGCATCAAGAGGGGAGCAATCTTCCCTACCCAAAGAGATAAGGGAAGAGATATCGAAGCTAGTTCACAAGTTGACGACCGGGCAAACGCAAAGGACTCCGGATGATAAGCCAATCAGCACAACAACCATGGCGGGCGAGAACAGAGGAGCCTTGATGCAGTTAACTTTGGAGTCGGCCAAAAGGGAGGGGTCAATTCACATCCACCGCGGTTACAAGACTGACCCGGATGAGAGTCTCGAAGCCCCCACCGATACGGAGGGGTCATCAAAGCAAGAAAGGCACGAAGGCCCCAAAACTGAACAAGAACCTGGGACAGAGGCTTTTATTAACAGCAATGTCCAAACTGTCAACAACTCCATGGTGTTTGAGAGCTCGATTTCCGCGAGGAACCCCGGCGTTCAGATGGAGCTCTCTCCCGACATTGCAGAAGAGGTCGAGCCGAGCAATCAGACTGAGACCCCAGAGACGCGCAAGGCTGAATTTAGTCTCACTCCAAGCGAGAAGCTTACCTATGAACCTACCATAAGGCGAAGGTGCCTGAGAGGCCTCCTCCTGGAATCAAGCGATTCAGATCCGGATAATACCGCGAAGCCTCGGCGTCATGGCTGCCGCTACAGCTGCGGGGGGACAACCAAAGAGAAAGATGCCAACGTCCCTTGACTGCGCTCTACCTCTTGAATGAGACCGGCGCGCGCGAGCAAAATAGAAGTGACAATAAAAGTGATGTAAATGAATCACTGACAATAAGCATGCAGCATCTGCCACTGATTCATGCAATGTATCGGAATAGATCATAAGCCGAGTGACTTTGCGTATATTAATCATATCATAGCACCAACAACCAAGGATTTCAGGCTTCTTGTGCTGATGCTACATTGCAAAGTCCCAAGTTTGTGTATGCTGCAGCAACCAATTGATAGAGACTTCTGCATTTGGGAATTTGAAATGTTAAACTTGCCGTCAGCTGATGATTCTACTCATCAGAGATTATACTGGTAACCACAGAATTACGCGAAAACCAAGCATTTTCTAGTGGGAAATCGCCGAAAACGACTAGCACGCGCAGTCCTTAATCCATAATATGCTGCACATTACAAGAGCAATCGATTCTAAGGTTAATGTCTGATGTACTGTTATGTCTTGATCATTTACAACTTAATTTCAGAGGGCCTTTCTCCTTTATGTGCCTCCCTGTGTGTCTTTTATGTTTGGTTTCAGGGTTAAGTACAGATTTAGTCCATTAACTTTCAGCGTTTGTGTGATTTGGTCCTCTAACTTTTGTTTTGTCCTATGAAGTCCTCTAATGTTTTAAATTTGTGTGATTTGGCCCTCTAAGTTTTATTTTGTGCAATCAAGTCCTCCAATTTTCTCAATTCGTGCAATCAAATCCTTTGATGAACCACTCTAACTAAACTATCAAATTGATTACTAACGTGACACTGCTTATGTGATAGAAAATGACAGGTGATGCTAATTTGGCGCCAAATAAGCATAAAACAAATGTGAAAAAACAAGAAAAAATTCCTAAATTTACACTATTCGTTAATATGCGTTAATAAAGCACTTGATTGCATAAATTGAGAAAGTTAGATGATTAGATTGCAAAAAAAACAAAACTTGGAGGATCGATAGCACAAATCCAGAAAGTTAGAGGACTAAATTGCACAAAATAAAATTTGGAGAACCGAATTGCACAAACGCTAAAACTCGGAGGACTAAATCTGTACTTAACACTAGGGGTGTCAGAACCGAACCGAAAAACCGAACCGAGATACGAACCGAACCGAACCGAACCAAAAATTTCGCGCATTTCGGTTCGGTTTCGGTTTCGGTTCGGATCATCAAAATAAACCAATTTTTCTTTTCGGTTCGGTTCGGATCGGTTCGGATTGAACCGAACTAAAATAAACACTTCGGTTTAGGGCTATTTTGCCCTCTCTCTCCCCTTCTCTCTCCTCTCTCCTCTCTCTCTCTCTGCTTAATGAACTTGAAACCGAAAACTGATCCGAACCAAATAAATTTTTCGGTTCGGTTCCAATTCGGTTCGGTTCAAGGGGGCACCCTTAATGGTTCGGTTCGGTTCGGTTTTCTTGAAAAACCGAACCGAACCATTTACACCCCTACTTAACACTCAGTATTATTTCTCGTTCTTTACATTTTGTGGTTGCTGGTATGTAGACACTGAATGGGTGGGTTGGACCAAATACAGACCTAAAAGTCTTCATCCAAACTTTATCTCAACCAACATTAAATTCTAATAAAATAAAAAAAAATCGGACTTAGGTACGGTCTAAAGTGAGCCTATGTGGGCAGGTCCGAGTCCAATAAGGAACTCATTTGCCTAAGCTTGCTGGTTTGTGCTTCGACCTTGTCAGCTCGGATGGACCCAACAGCCCGCCAACTCCATAATCATCAGGTCTACTCTTGCTTAGGTATTTAATCGTTGGGCATAACAAAAAGGACTATTTTCGATGAAGCATCAATGGGGGCTAATACCGACCATCTCTTTTCCAAAAAACACTTGGCACTTAGTGAAATTTTAACACATATATGTATACTGTAATTTTATGAATGTGACTTAAAACTTTTTCTACATCTCAAGATTCTCATCCCCCTTAGCTAGGGTATTCCGATCATCCGTTTCACTTCCGAAACTAAGATTTTGTTTCTGCTCCCGTTTATTAACAAATTATCGAGTATCTCCCAAGTATTTGTTTGAATCCACGAATGTAATCTCGGCGTGTTGGGAACGATTTTCCGGACCGATTTCCGGGTCGATCTCGATCTTAGTTCTTAATCGTCCCCACAGGACATGGTCAATAAAACCCTAATCCAAGCCAACTTCCAGATCCTTACGATATCTTCACAAACCAGTCACCAAAAAAGGTAGGAACACCTGGGGACATTTCGAAGTCATGTATATATGTGAAGACTTTTGTCCAATAACATTGCACCTATCCATAACACTCGCGTTTGAAACATTGTCAAAGCACACGAACGCAGAACGATACAGCTTCCTAATGGAGATGATTTCTAGCGTTTACCTTAAGACTCGGGACATATTATCGCAAGCCGCCTCCATAGGTCGTATACCTCAACTCCTCGAACTATTATTATTATAATTGTAATAATAATTACCGAACTTATATGTAGACGTAACTTCAATTTGGCATGAATTGGGAATGTATACAAAATCGGATTGGGTTCATTGACGGCTGCTTCTAGGCTTCAGCCAAGAGCAACCGCTTAGTCCCTCTCGTACGTTTCCAATAATTGCTGATCGCCATCGTCGTTGTCAAGAAATCGGCCCCTCTCGTTTCGCAATTCCGTCCCGAAGATGACGATCCTTATAAATAGAATAGAATCACAGGTCACACCAATCTAATTTGCTCAGATTTTTGGTCATCTTCGCTTTTCACATCATATAACTTCGACACCAATAATATACATTAGTAGGTGCAAATCTTGAGTTGCATCATGAGGAATCCTGGGCAATTCATCCTCTACTTCCTCCTGGCTCTTTTACCTACTTGCACGAGCTTTTCCGAGGCGGGAAACGCGAGTCGAGCTCCTAGCGTCGCGCGCCTCGTCCGGGTCGACCCGTCCGGAGAGGGAGACTTCACGAAGATACAGGACGCCATCGACGCCGTGCAGTCGAACAACTTGGAGCTCGTCTTCATACGGGTCGAGCCGGGGACTTACCGAGAGAAGATCGTGGTCCCGGCGGACAAGCCTTTTGTGACCCTGAGCGGGAGGAGCGGGGACATATTCGGGTCGCCCACCGTTTCTGTCTTGGCTTCCGACTTCGTCGGCCGTTACCTCACGATTCAGGTTCGCATGGACAGGCACTCTAAAAGTGACAACAGACTCTAAATTCGTCAAAGCGGTTATTAAGTATCGATTCATAACGCAGTTGCGAACGCAAGTGCACATTGTAATGGAACAAGACATAACGTAGAACGATGTTTCCAAAGTAGACGTGATGTAATCGAGCAATCAGATTGTGCGTGTATCTCACCTTTGATTGACTCGATTTCGACGTTTTTGATGTTCAGAATACACACGGGCCGGGAGCGAAAGCGGTGGCGTTGAGGGTGTCGGGAGACAGGGCGGTATTCTTGGCATGCAGGATCACGTCTCACCAAGACACATTGCTCGACGACGCCGGAAGGCATTACTACAGCAACTGCTACATCGAAGGTGATGTCGACTTCATCTTCGGCGATGCTGCTTCTCTCTTTGAGGTATCATTTCATGCCAACATTGCTTGAACTCCGTGGGGACGAGATAGTTTTCGGAAACTATGATAGAGGGTCGTCGGTTCATTTCTCTTTCCTTCTCTTTTATTTGCAGAAATGCCAAGTGCATTCGGTGTCGCAGGGAGGAGGGACCATCACGGCCCAGCGCCGGGCGTCGCCGTCGGAGAACACGGGCTTCGTATTCCTGGGCTGCACCATCACGGGCCTCGCCGACACTTTCCTGGGCCGCCCGTGGGGCCCGTATTCGAGGGTCGTCTTCGCCCTCTCTTACATGTCCAGTGCCGTCCTCCCCCAGGGATGGGATGACTGGGGCGACCCATCCAACCAGAGGTAAAACAACAACGACAACAACAATAACAATAACAATAGCAATATCATGCAATTTAACTATTTCGAATAAAGAATTTTCTCTATTTTTTTTCTAGGACGGCCTACTATGGGCAATACAAATGTTACGGACCAGGGGCTAACACGTCGAAAAGGGTTCCCTGGTCTCGCTTCCTTACCAGTGAGGAAGCGTCGCCCTTCTTGACGGCAGATATGGTCGACCGGAAAAGCTGGTTCAGAAATGCTCCATCTATATTCAACTGAGGCTAACATCGGTGCAAAGAACGCTGGTCGAAAATATTAAAATGTGTACATATGTAATTAAATGTAGTTTCATTTGCTGAATGTAAGTGTCACAGGTGTAGATACATTGAAAATATGTGATGGTGAAAATCTTTTGCTTTGTGTAGTCTCGACCGTGAGCTGAGTTTCCTTCTACCGTGCGCATTACTCGGATGAATCGCCGACAAAGATGTCTCATTGTAACTTTTCTAAGGATATTTGCGTGTTATATTGTAGATGGATGTTCGATTTACTTATGATTTTTTGCGTCAGCACATGAAATGGCCCAACGTCAAGTTGACTGAAAATGCAAGAAATCCAAGGTGAAAATTTCCAGCCCGTCAGGATCCATCCAAAATGTTTGATTGTGAAATTCGTGACGTGGGCAGCACAATTGGGATGGTCTAATTAAATCCCAATTTGCTATTGGGTTTTTTCAATTAAGTATTCGGATGTAGAAAGACTTCGTGATTGCTAGCGTCTTATTGGGGGCGGCGGTGACGGACTCGCCGATATTAAACTTTCAATCACAGTCGGTATGAAGTAAGTGTAGTTCAAACCGAATGTTTCTTAGCGGGCATGGGACTCTTATAGTAACCTCCGATGCGCTTTTCGCCCCTCTCCAACCTTATTAATAATGAAAAAATTTTGGACACGTTTTTGTTGAAGTTCCAATTACCTGGACACTTATCTTGGATAAAAAGATTATTTGGAAACTGATCGTATGGAACCGATGATTTCGATCACATTAGAAAGATCCGCTGATATATTTAGAACGATATTTTCCTTTTTCGTTGAAAATTTTTGGAACTTCTGTTCAGCATAAAATGCTTGAAAGCTAAGCAGAGAAAATGGATGAATTGCATAATCTTTCTCTTAACATAGCATATTGTATCCTCCCGGTGCGGTTAATCTCTAAAAATGCTCAAAAATATTTTCGTACATACATATAAAATAGGACGCTGTGATCCGAATGTAAGATTTGTCGCACCTAGAACAATACGCCTGATCTCGTCGAGGGTCGTCCTAATCGAATAGATTGTTGTAATCGGTAAACAACTACGGCACAGTTTCTAATTTTCAGAAGCACATATGATTTTGAAGATCTAATGCTTGTTGTATTAATTATAATTTCAATGTTAAGAATGCGTTTGGTTTAGCTTTTTAAGCGACTTTTTAGAGCGTTCCATAAATTCTTCTTAGAGACCTGCTCGGGTTTTCATCATTGTCGAAAGGCTAATATTCAGAGTTAATGGAATGATTTTCAATCATCTTTTCTTGCCCTAAATGACTTGCTGAAATTCCAAATTTACCCATTTGTAAAAATAAAAACAGTAAATATCTTCCCAGGTTCCCTCCTCCCTCCCTTCGCATCAATCGAAAGTCGCCTTCATTTCTGAAGCAGAACGGAGTCGGATCGGTCCATTTCGCTCGCTCTGCTTTCGTTGTACGGCCTCGAGCTTCTTCTTCTTCTTCTTCTTCTTCTTCCTTCTCCGGGTAGCTCAACGGCTCTCCGAATCGAAGCTGCGTAGCTCGCGAGAAGGGACGGGTTCTCCGGCGGTTTCCCACGTAAGAATCCATTTTCGCTTCCTGTGTAGTGTTGTTCTCGCCGTCGCCCCGTCGTTGATTGTTCTCTGATGTGGAGAAATTAGCGGGTGCTCGCATTCGTCGAAAGTTGGTCTGTACAGAAGCGAGCGAGGTGATAGTGCGAAGACCCTTTTGACTTGGCTGGATTTTATACCCACCTGGGGAAGGTTGGAGGGTAGATTGCGTAGTTAGCGTCGCTGAAGTGTGGGAGGTTTGTTCGCCTGATGTTGAAAAGGGTATTCTTTGAAATTGTTAGGGATGTGGTTGGTGGCATGTTCTTTGCTTCAGGTTGGGTGGGGCTTTGTGTATGTAGCAGAAGGAGGAAGAAGAACAAAAAGTTGGAATTTTGGCGATGGTAGTTTGCTAATTTAGTTTTGGGGGTGGGGGGTTTTTGAGGGTTTGTTGGTTGGTGGGTTCAATTTGATAGGGACCCAGAGAGGATTGGGGGGTGGTTGGGGCGGTGTCCACTATGCAAGATCAAATTTTTTAATGCTTGAATTTTTTATGGAGCTTGGATTTAGCAGAAAGTAAAAGATAAAGACAGGTGAGGAGATTGAAGACAGAAAATTAGTGGTGAGAGGGTCGAGGATCTTTTAATCCATTGTTGCGAAGATGACAAAGCATCTTTTACTGCCTTTGGCAATAGGCGTTTAGGGAGGACACCACTTGTGAATTACCTATCTATCTGTCCATTCTCTCCATTACATTGAGAGCGCATGGAGAAGCTCTGCGGATGGTTGTGTTAATCTTTTTTTGCTTGCGCAGTTGGGATCGTGAGGTGTTGTCGCGAGGCATAGCTCTTGGCTGCTTGAGTTTGAGCATTTAGATTGGGAGTGTAGAAATGATGCGCATGAAAGTGTGATCTGTCTTTGGGATGGCCACTCCATCCTGCAATCCATCTTTTGGACATAGTACGATTAAATTGCAGTTTGAGTTGATATCTATCTTCGATTTAATTATCATTTTTTAATGATTTTTTTCAATGTGGGTTTACGGAAGCGAGATGATTGGATATTGAATAGCTTTCTATCATTTCTTCAATGTTCAAGCATTTTTAGGGGCATATTTTGCTGTCTATGTGTATCTATTATACATGCATATGAATGGAGATTGGTGTGTTAGTATTGGCATTTGCTTTATAGAAGACAATCTTCTCATGGTCACATTTGTCATCAGGATGGAATGTTGAATCTTTGTGTTTTTTTACACAACAGGAATTATTGTACATAAATGACTTTAGGTGTTTGAGTATTGTTTTCAATAGTTGACTAGATTTTTCCACATTCTCTCTCAAATTGTGAACTTTGCCTTGTAGTATTCAGATTTTCTGAGAAACCATGTAGAGAACTGTGTCAGCTGCAATATAAAACAGGGTGCCGTGTATGCATGTGTTCGTTCATGTTTGTTGAATTGGGTCATGGTTAATCTCATTTTTTTTTTACTTTTGTTACATTTTTTTTAAGTTCATCTTCTTCTATGATACAACTCACGAAAATGTTTTATTATAACAGGCCAATCCTAAGCTTAGAGTTTTTAGAGCGAAAGGCATACATCCAGATTTTGAAGTTCTGTTAGATAGAATGTCCAGAGATATTGCTACCGGAGGTATCACATGGAATCCCGCACAAGGTTTATGTATTAAGGAGGATATTGAGGAGGTCACACAACTCGATGTTGGTGATGGTGCAAGATCTAGTGATGATAGTTTTGAGTGTAACTTAGGTGAGAAGAAATCGACTGAAGCTGCGAAGCTGGCAATGCAACTTGACAGACTTTTATCAGCTATTGAAAGAAGGAGCGTTGCCGCGGAGTTTGATCCTTACAAGGGAAACATAAAGATGATGGATACCATACCTGAGATTGTGCAAGACCGAAAGTTATACTTTTTTGCACTCTCTCATTTTGCAGAAAAGAAAGATCATAGGCAGATCTTCATGAACTTGAATGGTGATGATGTAAAAGTCGAGTGGCTCAAGTATGAGTTTGAAAAGTGCAATCATCACTAGAGTGTTAGCAACTTATTTAGACTCTTTGGTATGCTACTGTTTTAATGTTAGACCTATTTTCACTACGTATTTGTACTCCATTCACACTACTTGTTAACTCTATTTTTATTTATGTTTTAATGGGAGTCTTGTTTTCAGGTAATGTTCTTTTATTGGCTGGAGTTTGCTTATACGTTATGGTTGATAATATTCTCTCCACGGATGATCAAGCTTATTCGTTACTTTTTTTACTTATACTCTATATTTTATTGCTTTAAGTAGTTCCAAATGATTCTCCTGAGAAGGAAATTATGAAAAAGAGAAAGAAAAATTTTTGGCAACTTGTCTCAGTCGTTCAAGTTGCAATTGGTTATCGGACAAATTACATTCACAGGGTTCCTTGCGAAGATGCTAATCAAATAAGGTGCTATTAAATGTTTTGAACGAATAGGATTGTATATAATAGGGTAATGCATGACTTAGTAACATATTATGGCCATGATGTTGCAGAAATGTTTGGCATGTTTCTTCACATTTTAATGGAACAAATAGTGATGCTGGATTCTTCCAGCTTCAAGAATAGCAAGCCTTTTTTTAAGGTTTCTAATGGTAGTGCAATATGTTAGTACAAAAGTGCTTTCAACGCTTTGGGAAAAAGCATGTTTTGGATAAATTACTTAGTTTAGTTTTCGCTAAAGTATGTGAAATGGAAAAAGATTTGATCCAACTATCTGATCGACAATTTAGGGAAGTTCTCGAGAAGATAAAAAATAATCGAAGATTTTATCCATATTTTAAGGTAAATTATGATTATACAATAAAACGGAAGAGCTACATATAAATCAATTAATATTTACATTTTTATTTTAGGATTGCATTGGAGTTTTAGATAGTACACTTATCCCAACGGTGGTACCTATGCACAATCAAATTCGTTTTATTGGTAAAAAAGGAACATTGACTCAAAATGTATTATTTGTATGTTATTTTAAAATATAATTTATTTATGTTTGAGTCGGTTGGGAGGCAATAGCTCATAATATTCGTTTCTTCTATGAAGCTTTTAAGAGACACGATGTACAATTTTCTCATCCTCTAACAGATTCATTAATTCATGGTTTATGTACATTAATATGTATGTATATGATATATGATGATTAAATTTGCATTATATTTGTGTAGGTAAATATCACTTCGTTGATTCTAACTATCCAAATCCATAGGGCCATACAAAGAAGTTAGATTTCATTCGCCAAAGATTTAATGAGATCCTAAAACTACAGGTGATCAAGAAGTGTTCAACTATATCCATTCCTCATTACATTAAAATTGAGCGAGTTGTTGGCGTAATAAAAATTAAGTGGAAGATTCTAAAGAATATGTCAAGTGTAAATTGTGATAGTGGCAATAACTTCGCACAATTATATATGAAGAAGCGATGATACTCATTCTATAAGAGCAAATTTGGGTTTTAATTATGAATATATAGTTGACTGTGATGATGCAAATGAAGGGCTAGTGCCTCAAATGATAATGTACCTTCTGACATGGCATATTTACATGATTGAATAGCCAGAAGTTAAGGAATACTTATGAATGCTTGAAATTTTTAAGGATAACATATTTCTTTCCTCATGGCACATGTGACCATATACTCTTTTTTTATTTGAGAAAGAATCCACTTTGATATGATTTTTTTATCCATTTGAAATGAAATGTGATTTTTTTATTTATAATTTTGTCAATGCATCTTTTTACATTGCACTCAACACAAACTAAATAAAAGTTGCGGTCATTATCTTTTTCAATTTTAAACAAATTAAAAATTGAAAAGCTTAAATTAGTCACAATATAATACTTTTCAGATATGTTTTCACTAAACCACATTTCTCTCAAAACTGCTTCCCAACACACTTTCCAATTTCAGTTTATCAAACCATTTTGAAAACCTTCAAGTTATGTCTTTTGCATTTGCTTAGAGGTTTTTCCTAAATACTGAACCAAACGTAGTCTAAATCATGTATGCCCTCTGTTAATGCGCACCTTGGAAGGTGATGATGTACCTCATTTTGTATCCATAAGAAGAAGTTATAGGTCGCATCCGATGCAATTGGCCCAATAATCTGATCCGTTGAATGATGCATGAAACGCACATGATTTGACGAATCACATGCACTGCTCTTATATTTTCTGAGAGTAAAAGTTACAATACATTTACCTTAAAAAAATTTTGTAACATCAAAAATCTTAAACTTGTACCAGTGACACATTTACCTTCTGTCAATGAGAACCGTTAAAAATCTGCCTACAAAGATGCCCGAAAGTAAATAATATTGACATGGTGCCCACGTGACTTAAATAAAATAAAAACGACGTTATTCTACCTGAAAAATCATTTGGTAGAACCTTGACGGATGTTAAATATGTCACATAGGTACAAATTTAGAATGTAAATATGTTACAATGGATATAATTTGGGGCTTTTGATGTCAAAAAAAAATTCAAGGTGAATGTGCCGTAACTAACCTAGTTTTAAGGTTTTTTTTCTCCTTTTTTCCTTTTTTTAATTCCCCTGCCTAAGGAATCTCGGAGAACACACGTCGGATGCATATCAAGCACAAACAAAATCCAATGGCCAGATCACGTCGTCATCCTCGTCCCAACTCCTTCCCTCGGCTTGTTCTTCAGTCATCCCCGTGCAAATCTGTGGGCCGACATGTGGCTCCGACATTTATGTGCAAAAAGTCAGTGGAATTACAACAGTTGCACCCAAAAAAAGAAAAATAAAAGCTTTTTAGAATGCGTGTGAAATAATGAACTCCCGGATAAGAACGAAGTCGCAGATAAGAAGCAATCATCCCACGTATAAAAACCCTTCACAGTCACTTGTTGATCGATCCAAGAATTGCAGAAGAAAACAGGAAGGTGATCACTGAGCAAGACTAGTAAGCAGCAATGGGTTCTCTAATGGCGGGTTGGGACTCGCCGGTCCTTGATGCTAAGCGTGGTAAGTCATCTTCCTCGTTGCTGCTACCGCTTTAGCCAACAGGGGTAAGGCTAAAACTTCGAATCTTGAATCTTTCTCAGTGGCTTACCAGAGGAACAGATCGTTCACCAAAGAAGAAATAGAAGCTTATCGGAGGTCGGAGAAGGTGAAAGCAGAGGAAGAACTGCATAAAGCCCCGTCCGATGGCGCTCGGGTAAAATACTTTCATCTGATCGTTTCGATTTCTACCGTTGTGTGTGTAGATACGTGTGCGAGGAGTATGGAACTTATGAACTGGTGGTAAATAATGGTTTTTCTTCTTTTTGTGGTTGGCTTGTCGCGACAGGAGATGGTGTTGGAAGAGCGTGCAAGAAAGTACGAGAGATCGGTCTCGCTGCCGGCGGAGCTGGAAGCCGGGACGACCTGGGAGACACTCGTCAACAGCAAAGGCTGGTAAGTTAAGAATTGCATGATTCTAGGATCAACGGGTGTCTTCAAGAACTTGACTTTTTCACATCAAAAGTGGTATGATATCTACTAAAGACTCTGAGACTGATCGAGTGATTCAGCGTCTTGTTTGAACTATTGTGATTGCTGCCAGTGTCATTTCGTGGATGGACTTGTATATGGTGCACCGTCATGAGACAATTTACGCGTACCCATACGGATTAATTGCTTTAAGACCTAAACATCAATTCATCTTTCTTTTTTTCGATCATTTTCCCGTATTAAGTTTTCTTTTTTTTGTTAATTTGAGGCTGGTAAGCTTTGTAGAATCTGAGCTACGGTCAAATGATTGGCAGGTGGACCTGGAGCAATTGGGCATTTCTGAATGAACCGCCCGTCCTTGAAAGGAGCACCAACAGTTACGCCTCTCAGTTCCACGTTGCCAATCTCCACAAATCGAAAGCTTGAATCACGTAATGAGAAAGCTAATCTGGGCTTGTTTGCACCGAATGAGTTGCTTTGCAATCGTAGTTTGTAACTCTATAGGTATTTGTATGTATACAAGTATATGCGATACGTACGTTTTCGAAGTGATGTGTATAGTGTATCAAAGGCGCTGTAAAATGTTGAGGACTTTCAATGTGATCTTGTATGAGCTCTTGTTCTCTTCTAGTGGTAGGCTCTCGATTTTAAACGGCAAAGGTTGTGCAATTCCGTGTCTTTAAACCGAGTGCACAATTGAAAATGCATTTGCTAGTATGAATTGTCTAACGTACTTTTATTCGATTCACAACAAATTACATTTGCATAGATGGGTGTTTTGTACATCATTCATGTCTATTCAATATATGGAATGATATCAGTCTTCTATAGCAAGTCCCACAAAAGCTGTTAAAGTTAATTTCACTGATAAATTTTTGTTCCAACTCGTCACATTTGACCTTTCTTTTCTAATCTAAGAATAAAAGGTTGGGACTCGGTTGACACCTACCTCATCTACTGTTGGAATGTTCGGTTTATGCAGCTAATCAAACCCCAACGCCCACCAGGCAAGCGCGTCATTGTAGTCTTACCAGGGGCGAGTGGAGAAGCCCAACTACCGGCTACGCACACCTAGGCCCAAGCCCGTCCTTCACAAACTAACCAAGGTTTCTTGAGACCGATGATAAATCGGAGAATCGAACCCATAACCTTTAGCCTACAAATCAAGTCTTGAACTACTCAACCAATCACCTCGGTCGTAACAAAGTACAAACGGGTGTTTTTGTACATCTTTTTTTGTCCATTCAATTAACGGAATGATAGATAAATATATTGATGACACGGCTCACACGAATACCAAAAGGAAAGGTATGCGAATTGCTACCTCCTTGACTAACGCATAGATCTTAGTCTCATCATCAATAGCAATTAGAGGTGTCAAAATCAACCCTTTGAGATATGTGGGCTTTTAGTCCTGGCCCATGGCATTGATCGAGTCCAGTTGCTAATAAGACGACGACGTAGATGTCAAGTCTAGTTCTTTTCTATATTGATCATGGGAAGAATTATATCTTGTGGAAAATATATCAATTTGGAAGGAACAAAAAGGTTCCGATGATGAGCGAATCGGTAGATTGTCATTCACATCGAATGCATTTTGCATTAGAAAATTCTACTAATTTCCGAGGATCGCAATAAACAATCAGTGACCCGTTGGCTCCTAAAAGGAATAATTTCATCGAATATTTTGTAGGAGATACGATAGCATATAATTAGGTACAACGATTGGCGGCTAATTGATTCCACGAACCCATTTTGTACGATGATTATAGTTTTTTTAAATATATTTTCTACAATTTGCTTCGAAGTGCGTGTGAAGCTTGCACAAAGAAAAATCTCCACCTGAATGTTTTGGGGGGAGGGGGTAATTAATAATACCTAGTCGGTTTATATCGATGTTTAAACATTTAAGCGAAAGTAAATCGAACCGGATGTACGAAGAGGATCGAGTTTTCAACCTCATCTTAGAACTCTCTTTGTGAAGATTGTGGGTTGTTGTTTCACTTCCCCAACTATTTTGGTAGTCATAGCCACAATCAATATCAAATTACCAAGGTGGCTAATAAAAATGCCCGAGTCATAAAGGTAAATTTAGCCGTGATAGAACAGAAGCTCCTCGTAGACGAGCAAGTGTGGGCTTAAGAGATTAATCCAAGTGAAAGAATATCGTAATTTGAGTGTAGAATTATCACCTTCGGACCAAACACTTAACCATTCAATCGATTCTTTTCCCAGCTGCAAAACTCTTATCGTTGATAATCACATAATCTCTCTCTCTCTCTCTCTCTCTCTCTCTCTCTCTCTCTCTCTCTCTCTCTCTCTCTCTCTCTCTCTCTCTCTCTCTCTCTCTCTCTCTCTCTCTCTCTCATATTCGGCAATGCTGTTTCTCTCGTTGAGGTATAATTTCTCATGCCAACATACACGCTCAGAAATGACTCTGCATAGTTTCTTTTTTATTCTTTTGGGCAGGACGGCCTGCCATGGGCAATAAGAATGTTACGGATCAAGGGCCCGTTTAATAGAAAAGGGATTGTTGGAAAGAAGCTGGGAGAAATACTAGATGGGTAAATATGGAATTGAATTAATTGATGCTCAAAGAAGTGTACCGTTGAATGTTGGAAATTATGGGACGGTGAAATTTTATCTTTTTTTACCTCATTGGAAAAGAAAGAAGGCTATGGAGTGTTTTATATACAGTTACATTTATTTGAAGTGGTAACTATCATAGCACAAACACTATGCCTCGCGTGCAGGAGCGAGGGGTGCAAATCCGACACTCGACAAGCTGGAACCTGGGCGTGAGCGCACGTCCCGTGTACACGATTGCAGGGCCGAAAAGTAGGCCTCGCGGCGAGCCCAATTTTGCCTTCTGATTTATTTTCAACTCAAGATGTTACAAATTTTAATTTGTAACGTCTGATTAATAGCAGGTTAATGGCGTTAAATTGTGTTGTTACGGAATTAATTTTATAATCGCATATTTAATCAGCCGTTATTCCCGATGCGTATTAATTTTATAACGGCATATTCAATCAGCCGTTATTATTCCCGAAACTCTCCCCCTGACCTTGTAAATAGATGCCTTCCCATTCTATTTTAAAAATCATCGAATTATTTCTCTCTTTCAATTCTCTGCATTTTTGCACCGTTTTTCGATAATGTTCGGTTCCGATTTGTTCAAGTTCGCCGAAATCTTTGAAGTGCCGATTTCTTCTTAGCTGTCAACCGTTGTATCATGGGAGACAAACGTTCACGAAACCTCATACGCGTGCCGGAGGAAACGAATATGTTTTAAGGAAACTGTGTCAAACACAAACCTTAGTATCCATTTGTATCGATTCCAATTCTGTATTGTTAACAACAGGGCCAACACGTCGAAGAGGGTTCCCCGGTCTCGCAACCTTACGAGCAAGGAGACGTCGCCTTTCTTGATGATGGATATGGTCATCCAGAAAAGCTGGCTCAAAAATGCTCAATCTCGATTCAACAGAGGTTAACATATGTTTTAAAGAACGCTGTCAGAAATACTAGATGTGTACATATGGAATTGAATTAATATGCTCAATGAAGTGTATCCGTTGTAAATCTATTGAAAATTATGGGACGGTGAAATTTTCTATCCTTTTTGTTTTAGGGTGATCTCAACCGTAAGCTGAGTTTGCGACTTATATGTGCACTACTTAGATGAATAGCTGATAATAATAAAAATGTCTTATCAAAACTTCTATGACAAATAGTTAAATGTCAGCGTCGATAGATAATTTATTTATGATTTTACGTGAACATCAAGCTGATTGGAAATCCAAGACATAAAAAAAAATGAAAAGCTTTTGATTCGTAAATTCGAGGGCTCCACAAATACCAACCTCAACGAAAAACCATGGGCGCTACAAACGGGATGGTAAATTAAATCCCAATTTGCTAATAATTTAATCAATTGAATATAGGATAATGTGGCATGGAAAGATTTTTTGATTCCTAGTATTTTGGTGGGACTGCACCGATAGGCTCGCCAACCTTGAACCTTCAGTCACGAGTGGTACGAAGTAAACATATCTCAAATTGAAATTTTTCATATCGGGTATGAGACGATCGGAACCTTACCATAAGGGTAAGGCGCAGAGATCATGGTCTCTGGTGTTGATTGCCTCTCTGATGTTTATAACTAATAAAAAAAATTGAATATACATCCTTATCGAAGTCCCAATCACTTGAACACTTACTATAGATAAAAAGAAATTACCTCGACACTAATTCTATAGATGGAAGGAACGATTCTCCCGATAAATATGACTTTTGTCTTTGGACGGTAAATCTGAGGATCTTTAATCCCGTTAAAATTGCAAAATGGAAACATACAATGAACTTTAATGATTTTTAGTGTACAAATATTTGATCACGTCGAAAATATCAGTTATATATTCAGAGTGATTGTGACAATTTCTTTTTCTAAGAAATTTGCAACTTGTGATCAACTTTAGACCCTTGAAAGCTACGCAGACAAAGTGGATGATTGCATAATTTTTCTCTCAACATTTCGTCATGTATTCTTTCGACACGGTTAATTTTTAGAGATGCACGAAAATTTCTCCATCCATGTGTATCGGTTAGGATCCTGTAATTTTAACACGAGAACAGATACATCCAAAACAAAACGCCCAATCTTTTGATCGACCCGTTGAGGGTTAGATGTAGTTTTTCTTTCCTTGGTCGGAACTATGAAGTAGTCTTCAAGCTCCATGTATAAGTATGATTTTAAAGATTTAATCTTGTTGTATTGATAAAAAAATTCGAACACGAGATTATGATTGCCCTTCTAATGTAAATTATGGAAGGTGATGGCGCATCCCATTTTGTATCCCTAAAGAGAAGTTATTAGCCTCATCCGATGCAATTGGCCTAGCTTCCGTTGGATCATATGGACCTTAGATGGGCACACACGATCTAAACGGATCACGATGCACTGAGCCTATGTACTACGATCTGGTCCGGTCCGGTCGCGTATAATAATTCTCCCTAGCTAAGGGAACCTCGGACGACATGGCGTCGGATGCATATCGAGCACAAACAAATCCAAGGGTCAGATCACATCGGCATCGTCCTAATCTCTTTCACCTTGGCCTCGTTCTTTCATTCCTCCCCGTTGCCAATCCGTGGGCTGACAATGCGAAGCTCCGACATTCATGCGCAAAGAAAGTTAAAAAGCGGAATCGAAAACACTTGCACCCCGCAAAAGGTGCGTTTATAAAAATCATAAAAACTTTGGGATAAGAACAAAGTCGCCGATAAGAACTGATCATCATCCCCGCCTATTAAAAGCCCTTTCGACAGTGTCGCAGACAAAGAACAAAAGGGTTGATCACTGAGCAAAGCTTCTGAGCAACGATGGGTTCTTTAATGGCGGGTTGGGACTCGCCAGTCCTTGATCCTAAGCATGGTAAGCCATCTTCCTCATTGCTGCCACCACTTCAGCCAATAGGGTAGGGCTGAAACTTTGAATCTTGAATCTTTCACAGTGGCTTACCAGAGGAACAGATCGTTCACCAAAGAGGAAATAGAAGCTTATTGGAGGTCGAAGAAGGAGAAGGCAGGGGAAGAGCTGCGGAAAACCCCATCCGACGGCACTCGGGTAATTACTTTCGCTTATTTCTTTCACTTTCTACCGTTTTTCGTGTAGATATGTGTGTGAGAATTGTCGAACTTATGAACTGGTAGTGAATAATGGCTTCTTCTTCTTTTTTTGTGGTTGGTTTTTTGGCGACAGAAGATGGTGTTCGAAGAGTGTGCAAGAAAGTACGAGAGGTCGAACTCGCTGCCGGCGGAGCTGGAAGCCGAGATGACCCGGGAGAGACTCATCAACAACAAAGGCTGGTAAGTTAAGTATCGCAGGATTCTAGGATCACTCGGTGTTTTAAGAACTGAACTTTTTCGGATCAAAAGTGGTATGATCTACTAAACACTCCGACAAGACTGGTCAAGTGATTCAACGTCTAATTCAGATGACGAAAACGTCTTTGTTGGAATTCATTGTGATTGCTGCTAGTGTAATTTCAAGGATGGACATTTCTACTATGCACGCAATGAGACAATTTATGCGTACCCATTCCGATTAATTGCGTTAAGACCCGAACATTAACTTATCTTTCTTTCTTTTTTTTTGGTCATTTTTCAATATATATTTTTTTTGGTTAATTTGAGGCTGTTAAGCTTGATCGAATTTGAGCTACAATCGAATGATTGGCAGGTGGACCTGGAGCAATTGGGCATTTCTGAATGAACCGCCGGTATATGAAGGGAACACCAACAGCTACGCCTCTCAGTTTCACGTTGCCAATCTCCACAAGTCGGAAGCTTGAGTCACTTGAATTAAAGCTAATCTGGGCCTGTTTGCACGGAACGAGTTGCTTAGCAATCGTCGTTAGTAACTCTGTAAATATGTATATCTATATGTATATACACGTATGTGATAAGTACATTCTCGGAGCGAAGTCTGTTGTCTGTTCAAGGTGTAGTAAGGACTTTCGATGTGATCTTGCATGAGCTTTTCTTGCTATCTTCTTGTGGTGAAGAATAGTGAAAGACTCTTGACTTGAATTGGCAATGGCTTATGCATCTTTCTTCCCTGTAGGACAAAAGACCATTTCGCTCGAGAAAGAGAGGTCATTAGGTGCGTCCGGAGTTCTTGGCCATCTAAGACCCGCTCTAAGGTTGCTGCGTTACATCGAGTGTACAATAAAAACTGCACTAATAATTTGATTTTAGAGTATAAATTGTGCAATAGTTTTTGGGTCAATTCACCGCAAATTACCCATCTTTTCTTTCCAAAAAATAAAGGGGTTGGATAGGGTTGGGGTTAATTCCAAAAAAAAGCATTAACTTTAGGTCAAGGGACAATTTTGGCTCGAACTTTTTTTTGTTCTATAAAAAAACATTAACTTTAGGTCGAGGGATAATTATGGCCCGAATTTTTTTTTGCCCCGTAAAAAAGCACCAACTTTAGGTCGAGGGACAATTCTGGCCCGAACTTTTTTTTGTCTTGTAAAAAAGCACCAACTTTCACTTAAATCCCAAATCTGGCCCTTTATTGATTTAAAACAATTGATTTTCCAACTTGACTATTCCACCTTAGAAATAAATCCACGTGACTTGCTAACTGGATTTAAAGTATTATTCATTGTTTTATTCTCTGAACCACAGCTTGAAGAATAACGGTGAAACTGTTCGTCTCCTTCACTTCACCGGCAAGTCAAAAATATCTCCAGATTGAATCTTTCTAGCCAAACTTCGTCGTTTTGTCGTAATCTAAAGCTGTAGACCACCGCCCGTCAACAGATGCCATAGAAGAGATTCGCCAGGCTCACCACCATAACTTTTTTTCTCAAACAAGGGTAACGTCAGACAGAAAGTCATTGAGGGGCCAAATTTAGGATTTAAATGAAAGTTGGTGCTTTTTTACGAGACAAAAAAAAGTTCGGGCCAGAATTGTCCATCGACCTAAAATTGATGCTTTTTATGGGACTAAAGTTGGTGCTTTTTTTTTTAATTAACCCGATAGGATTGTGACCTACTTCATCCATTATCGGAATGTTTGGTTTGAGCTACAATGAAATGATTGGCAGGTGGACCAGGAGCAATTGGGCATTTCTGAATGGACCGCCGGTATACGAAGGGAACACCAACAGCTACGCCTCTCAGTTTTACGTTGCCAATCTCCACAAGTCGAAAGCTTGAGTCACTTGAATTAAAGCTAATCTGGGCTAGTTTGCACACAATGAGTTGCTCTGCAATCGTCGTTACTCACTCTATACGTATATGTGTGTATGTATATACATGTATGTGATATGTACATTCTCCGAGCAACGTCTGCAATGTGTTGAAGGTGTAGCAAGATTTTGAGGACTTTCGATGTTGATGCGTGATAAGAAATTCGTTTTCTGGGCTAGTATCTAAATGATAAAGTGTATTAATAATTGTTTGCTGGGATGTATATGATGGAATGTGTCGTTATTTTTTTATTAAAATGAGAACTTGCTGGAATTGTGGAATTGGGGCTAAATGGAGTATATTATGAACAAAAATGAAGTTGGAATAGATGGAGCTCACCACCAAGACGTAAAGTAACAATCCACCGGCCAAGGATAAAGAACTTAAGCTCACCACCATGCAAATGGATAAAGAACCAAAATTTGAAGAAAATTGCTCACTTCGAGAGAAATTCTCATGTATTACAAATCAAGTTTGCACTACATACGAGATTACATTTTCTATTTATAGCTAAACTAAGACGTTGTACTAAGACTCTCCTAATCAGCGTTAGCACACTCCACATATAGCTTTTTCAACCTAGTAATGAAGACTATCTCACACTCTTTCAAACTTGCAATGAAGATTCTTGACATTTTAACTTTGCATTAAAGAGTCTTTAATACAAGAAGACAAACTGAACACACTAAAGCATTAATGACACAAGAAGATAAACCGAGCACACTAAATAATGGAAACAAATTAATTGCCTTTTCAACCTTGTATTGAAGCCACCAACCATTAGCAAATACTATCTTGAGTGCTCCGAACCCATTGGACCATGTTGAGGACGAACTTGCTATATGCTTCTCTGATTGACAAATTGGCTTGATTGACCGATGAAGTTCGAGTTGGGATGGCAATGTAATCATTAATTGGGAGAATTAAGTTCTTATGCTCCCGCATCAGATGCGATCTTGTATGAGCTCTTCTTGCTATCTTCTTGTGGTGAAGAAGTGAAAGACTCTTGATTTGAATTGGCGATGGCCTATGCAGTTTTTCCCCTCTAGGACAAAGACCATTTTGGTCGAGAAAGAGAGGTTATTAGGTGTGTTTGGAGTTCTTGGTCATTTAAGACCCACTCTAGGGACGCCGCGTTGAATCGAGTGTACAATTAGAAATGTGTTAATAAATTGATTTTATAGTATAAATTGTGTAATACATTTTGAGTCAATTCACCACAAATTACCTTTCTTTTCTTTTCTAAGAATAAAGGGTTTTTTGGATAGGGTTGAGGCCCCCTTCACTTATTGCTGGAAGTTTTAGTTTAAGCCGTTAATGAAATGCTAACTTCCCACTAGGTGAGCGTGTCACCGTAGTGCCACCAGGTGCAAGTGGGGAATCCAAAGACCGGCTATACATCTAAGCCCAAAGCCTGTCCTTCGCCAACTAATCGAGGCTTCCTGAGATCGGGGACAAAAATCGGAGAATCGAACCCGTGACCTTTGGCTTGCAAATCAAGTCTCGAATTACTCAACCGACCACCTAGATCGTAGCAAATTACGCTTCAAAAATGGGTGTTCCATACATCATAAAGGCTCACCTGAAAACAGGAAGGAATGTATGTGAATCCTCCTTGACTGGCGGATCAATTTGCATCATCAATTGCTAATGAAAGGCGTCACCGTGTTATCTTGTCAGCATTGCACTGGACAGCCAGAAATGAACGGTGAGTGGGGCCCATCTCATTGATCATATCCGGTTGCTAATAAAGAGGACGAAGCAGATGTCAAGAGTCTGATTCTTTTCTATTTAGAAGTGGATTCAAGAGCTGCAATCGCAAAATTTTGGGTTTAGAGATAAGTATCGGTAATAGTAGAAGCATATCTTGCAATATCTATATTGCTTTTTCGGACAGAACAAAAAAAACTTCAATTCATGAACGAATCAATTGATTGGCGTTTCGCACGAGATAAGGTTTTGCACCAGGGACTTCTACAAATCTCCGAAAACTGCAAAAGAATCGGTGACCCCGTTGGGTCACAAAAGAATTAACCTCGATCATTCGTTGAGAATCTTTAAAGTGTTTGCGAGATACGACATATATATATTAAGCATCTGATAAAATAAAGTTAGATGTAATGGTTTTTGACCTATCGATCGATGTGGAAACCAACATGTTGCGTCATGATCATTGCTGGGCTCAAGAGCATTTTCTAGATCAACAGTACAACGCATTTTGATATGGCGTTTCATCGATCATTGTGTCCGGCCACGGGGGCGTGCTGATTGCTTGAAAATGACTCTTTAACATCAGGCCCGAACACATAGTATCCTGTAATTACGCAAAATCAAGTTAGCTTGTACATTAGAAAATCTCACCTTAAAGTTTGAAAAAGCAAAATTAACAGTACCGTGTCGGTTCGTATCGACGGATTAAGCGTTCGAGCGGTTGATAAGTCGAACTGGATGCGAGACAGGGAGGGTTCGAGTTTTTTGTCCCGTCTCGGAACCCCTCTCGTGAAGATCGTGGGTTCTCGATTTGCTACCCCTAGTACTTCGAAAGTGGTAACCACAGCTGATATCAAATTTACTTATATGACCGATGAAAAATGTCCAAGCTGAAATAATAAATTTAGCAATGATGGAAACACGGGCCTACGTAAGGAGAGCAAGAACGTAGCTACTAATGTTAATCTAAGGGAAGGGATGTTGAGGTCTGAGCGAATGACTGGTCGGGTTCGAATCAAGCGCTTTATCACCTTATCTAACCCTTTTAACAATTGCGAAACTCTTACGAATGTTTGTCAGACTCACCCTCTCTCATCGAGCTTAACTTTTGTAACATTCCTGCAAAACCGTCCCGATTCAGGGTCACCTATCCCACCAACCGTCCTAATCCGGATTATAATTATCATGCCATTTGACCTAAAGGGTGACCCCTCACCAACTCCCAAACCGACCCTACCGTTGCTCCCAATCCAAGCTTTCCTCAAAAGTCTCTCGTTCACTCCTGCTCCTGCACCTGCTCCACGTCTCCCCTCTCCCTTTCAATTTCTTCATCTCTGCCCCCACCATTCGCCAACTCCCCAATTGGCGTTTGCGTTCGGTCAATACACTCTCGCCAACCGTTTAGGGTCCCGTTAAGAAAGATAATGGTACCGTCGATCTCTAGAATCACCGAGAAAATAACGACAAAATATTTGTGGTGGCTTTCATCTCAATTAGGGTTGCATGATGCGTATTTCTAAGACAATTAGAGTACAGATAGAAACATAATTGGGTTAAATAAAGACCTTTTTGGCAAAATCTCATGTTGAGAAAAGAACTCTGTATGATGTTAAATAACGTTATACCAAACACTTGACGGAGCGTTTTTGGTTCTAGATGCTATCATTTCACGTGCCTCCTGAAGTCAAGGAAAAGTTGTTAGATCTTGTCAAAGGACTATGACGTCCGTCTACTTAATCAATTGTCAAGTGCGAAAAGTAGGGCAATTCACAAAATTATTTTGGTAGAAAGTAGGGGTATCTAGTTCTAAAATTGGGTGGAATCTAGACCAAAAACCCAGACCGTGTCAGAATCGGTTCCCAATGATTTTTGGAATCGAGAACCGGCCTGGAACCGAACCATTCCAGGCCATTCCACGATTGACCCGGGAACTAGGCCAAACATTAAGTACTATAAGATTATTTTGAGGAAACAAATTATGTGAACAATCTACGATATAATGGTTAAGACATCGATAGATTTCCTAGGCCTCTCCCAGGGTCGACCCTGGAATCGGTCGGATAAGGTCGGTTCGCCATTTGCATCCATACCAAAGAGCAAGGCAACTTCATTATTGGAAGACGATGTTTATACCCCAAGTCCCACCAAGAAAGGGCATCCTGGTAAATTCCAATGTCGCTGCCTGTCCCTGCTTCGTCCAATAAATAGAACTCCAACGTTTTCCCAAAACAGCAGCATCCAACAGTTTGCATCGCCACAAACCATTTCCTCCTTTCCTCGTTTCGATATTGCGAAAGGAGTCCGTCGACGACAATGGCCGAGAAGAGCAAAGTCTTGATCATCGGAGGGACCGGCTACATCGGCAAGTTCGTCGTCGAAGCGAGCGCGAAAGCAGGGCATCCCACGTTCGCGCTGGTGAGACAGAGCACGGTGTCCGACCCCGTCAAGAGCAAGCTCGTCGAGAGCTTCAAGAACTTGGGCGTCACTCTGCTCTTCGTACGTAATAAACGAACGGAACTGTCTCGCCTCCTTATGTTCCGAGGATCATTTGGCCGTGGAGAGTCTCGAGGATTAACGTGTGTTTGTGTGCGTGCGTGTGTGATTGGCACAGGGTGATCTGCACGATCATGAGAGCTTGGTGAAGGCGATCAAGCAAGCTGACGTGGTGATATCGACGGTAGGGCACATGCAAATGCCGGATCAGACCAAGATCATCGACGCCATTAAAGAAGCTGGCAATGTTAAGGTTTGTTAGTTGGTTGGTTCATTTGATTCTGGTGGGGGTGTGCTCTGCTTTCGTTTCAATTTCTCTGCTTTCTCGGTTTCCTTTCAGAAGCTTTATTTTGATTGCTTTAATTTTTACCAGGAAAAGAAGAAACTAGAACTATATTAGGTGGAGTAGGATTGACAGAATCTTATCAAATTCATTCAAATGCTCCTTTACAGTTTGCTACATAACTCAGTAGACTCTGCATTCCAACTATAGACCTGGAGAAAATACACTGGCACGGTTTATCTGTACAAGAAAAGAATAGAATGAGTCTTACGTGAAAGCTGCTCTTGACTAATTACATGTCAAGAATGAAGCAATGACATAAGTGGATCTGAGAATTGAGATTCGATTCGGTATATGTGACAGTGAAAAATCAAGAGAAGGCAATTTAGACTCTTTATATAGTAAGAGATGTATCTGATAACTTCGTATTAAGATCAGATTTCTTGGTAACTGACAATGTCATGATGGGATTGATCACACATGAATGCAGAGGTTCTTTCCTTCCGAATTCGGCAATGATGTGGACCGGGTGCATGCTGTGGAGCCAGCGAAGTCTTCTTTTGATGTCAAGGTCCAGATCCGCCGTGCCGTGGAGGCGGAAGGGATTCCTCACACCTACGTCTCATGCAGCTGCTTCGCCGCCTACTTCCTCCCGACACTGGTGCAGCCAGGACTCACTGCTCCTCCGAGGGACAAAGTCATTATCATGGGCGACGGAAATGCAAAGGGTAAATGACTACTGCTACTATATCAGTTGTTTCTGCATCGAATCAAATAGATAGATATGCATATCAGGGATCATAGCAGATGGATGCTGCGACAGTTACACAGGAATAGGATCCATTGAATTTACTTACCTTAGCGAGAAATGTCCGCACTAACAGAGCATAATTTTGGCACGCTCAATTGATGGTATTCCACTTATCTACGAAGAGTTGTTGCGGGTGGTGGATTTTGAGAAAACATCCTAAACACAAAAGCAGTGTAACTAAACCTTTTCTCTGTGCCTGCCCTATCTTGATTGATTATGCATAAGTCTTCTAAATATGACTTAAGTAGAGATAGTGGATCTTCCTCTGGGCCTTTTTGAATTTGCTACCGGACAGAACTTGGTTTTGCTATAGCAATAGCAAGTGTATGTTTTGTGGGCGTTGATCTCCGGTACTTCTGCAGCGATTTTCAACAAGGAAGAAGACATTGGGACCTACACCATCAAGGCGGTTGATGATCCAAGAACACTGAACAAGATCCTTTACCTCAGGCCTCCTAAGAACATTTACTCATTCAATGAGCTCGTTGCCTTATGGGAGAAGAAAATTGGCAAGACCCTCGAAAAGATTTACCTTCCTGAAGAGCAAATCCTGAAGCAAATCCAGGGTACGCTTTTTCTTGAAATCAAAGAATGCATTTAAGCCAATTCTTATATTCTTCTCATGATTGAAATTCCTGACATGGCTTATTTTCCCATTCTTTCGCAGAGTCCCCAATTCCCATCAATGTCATATTAGCAGTGAACCATTCAATCTTTGTTAAGGGCGATAATACCAATTTCGAGATCGAGGAGTCGTTTGGTGTCGAAGCTTCTGAGCTGTACCCAGATGTGAAGTACACTACAGTGGAAGAATACCTTGAAAATTTTGTCTAAATTAAGGGCATTCGTCTCCTGCTCTTCAAGGAGTTACTGTGACTCAGGTGAACAGCTGATATGTATTAAAAGGTTGTACACCTAAAGAAAAAGTATCAAAGGTCTGGGTCTTCTTTAAAAGTGTCTCTGATGTCATATTCTTCGTGGTCTTCTAAGACATGTATTTGCTTGTCATTGCTGTGAGGTTCATGAACTACCAAGGTTGTTGAGACTAACTTTGCTTGTCAGAAATATTTCAGTTCTCATATATGGGGTCCGTTGTGTATTAATAGTTGAGGGATCTTTAACCGGCAATGCCGCCTCAACGCTTTACAACTTCAATCTTCATTCTTCTGAAACTTCTTGAGAAACGAGTTGCCCACATATTTCTCAGGAAAAATTCAAAAGGTCAACTCAGAATCCCTCATAAATGCAATGCCCCCGTAAATTGTAAACCTAATCAAGCCCCTTATATCAAAGGAAGTAACTGGAGGAACAATCTCAGTTTCACTCTTATAGAAATTTGTAACTTCGTGTGTAACAAACATAGAAGCATTAACAATGCAAGTTCAATCAATCACAAATATGAATCCTGAAACCTACCTTATGCTTTTTCCTTAACAACCAACTCCCCTCTAAAGTTGAAAAAGATGAATCAATGTTTATCTATAGACTTCTTGCGCCATGTACTGTCATCTGCATTATTGCCGATTCTGTATCTTCTACTAAGAGTATGTATACAACCTGATTGCCATTTTTTTACTGCAGCAAATAGATACTAAGTATGGTTGAACATATACAAAGCGAGCACATTATGGACTATAAACGCCAAAAATCCATAATGCTGACATTATCATCTTTGTCATTGCCAATTCTGCGTCTTGTAGAATGCAACACTTCATGTAATGAGCTAATCTCTAGAGCAAAACAGGCAAAAATCACATCTAATTCTGGTTTAGCTCCATATAGAGTCTCCTTTCAGCAAAAAATATATCTAAGCCATGCCATCTATCGTGACATTCGACTTCGAGAGTGTGGCAAAACTAGGAATACTCAAGGCTGCCTCTAAGTTTGGGTGTATAATATTCCAATTCTTATTATTACAACGTTACATAACAATACAAGTAAATATGTCAGAACCTTGTCAACAATTTAATCCCTCTGTCTATGTACAACAGTGACAGAATCGTATGAAGGGCCATGATGGAAAAATTAAATGTTAAAGATGAATAATTCCACTTGCGTCCTAATTCAATCAAGGAGTCATCCCCAAAACCACTGTTGAGGCTGTGATGATGCGTGGAACTTCCAGGTACACGAGTCACAAGCCATGACCACTTTGCTTCACCCTCCAGTCTCTGGCTGTTCAATCTGAATCCACGACCTGCTTACACGCAATTATATAGCTCAACATTGTCCAATGTGAGGCAGCTTCATAGCTGAGAGATTATGCATGACCAATTAAACTGACACTGAGTTGATTTCCTCATCCAAAATCTCATTGAGCTTGATTCCTGTTGACCCTCGAAGAAGCTGGCTGAGGTTCTGGCGACGGTGACGGCGACGGCGCTGGAACTGGTGCCGTGGCGCGTGCGGTGTCCAACGGTTTACTTGCTGATGATTTCTTCAGGAATCCAAACGCTTTTCTGGCCCTCAAGGCTTCGGTATCGATATTTTCGCCTGCAAAGAACACCATCAGAAATGGACTTATTAAGATCAAAACTACGTGAGCAGAACAACTCGCCCCTCATACAAAGAATCACATGTAACTCTTACCATTTAGACTCAGCTTGAGTTTGGCAGACTCAGACAGATGAACCAGTGTTGGTGTGATGATCGTCAGGAGAGCCCAGAAGAAGAATATCACCACAACGGTTCTCCTTCCACTCATCTGTCGAAAGGGAAAAAGACAGACTGCTGCAATTGAGAAATTCCTGGAAGGTTTTAATCATGAGGAAGGAGAGAGAGAAGAGGGAGAGAGAGATCACCTCAACGCCCTTAGCTGGCCATGTTTAGGGTGCGGAGTGATTACAATAATTATTCAAAACTCTGTTGGTTTGGGATTGTTTTATATTCCCACAAGGAAAGTCTGGAGTATTTTAAACTATGACATCCTCAGTTCCACTGGTTAGTAGTTGGAGAGTTGTTATACCAAGTTTAATTGTCTAATAGAGATCCCATCAATGAGGCTAAGCCAAAATTTCTGCACGTCGCTGTCTGTAATTGCTCATATTCCCCAGCTGAACCTTGATCCCATCAATTTGTACTTGGTGGGTAAGAAATAGAAACTGAGAGGATCGAATCGTCTGATTAGAGTTTGAAAAAAACGAGGGCTAACATGCTCTAGAGTAATACGTGTCTTGTGTTTTTGATCAGGGCGAAACTCTCCCGGCTAATGCACCGACAATTCGTGATTTACAGCCCCCATCGACGCAAAGTTGATGCTCTCGGTAAAATCAATGGCGAGATCACGTTTAACCGGATAGTCCGCTCTCAGAATGCTCCGACAGCTGTTTCTGCAATTTAAATAATGGCAATCTGGTTGAAGCTTTGTGCCAAGAATGCAATGCCATAACTCCTCGACTTAATGCTGGAGGCCCGAAAATGTAAAACTGGACAGACCAGGTCTAAAGGGATCTAGAGTTGGTATTTAAAAGACTCGGCGCAAATTATTGTGCAAGAATGTGTGCCTTGCACTACTGCTCCGTCCGCGTAGAACGTCAACTATCAAAAGCTGATTCAGCTAATACAACCTTTCTTCTGGCCTCCTGCTTTGCGAGTAGTCAGTTAGCCGAAGCACCTAACGTTAATACTGCAGGTACTTGCCGACGGTTTCGGAGTCTCCCACGTCCACACCACAATACCTGGTCCCTACAGCGATCTTTTGTTTTAAGAAGAGAAGTGTACCGACATCCCACCATTTTTGGCTGGGGACAGATCTTCACGTGTCGCGAATTATAACTCATAAGTATTCCCTTCCCCAAAGGACGAATGATCAATTCACGGCGGCATATCCTTTTCAGCTATAGTACTCGCAAACTCGAAACAAATACGCAAAGAAATCCTCAGAAGGAGCAAGACTATCCTGTAGCTCGGAAAAGCGAATAAAATAGCACTGAGTACAAAACCTAAAAATGAGAAAGCTGCCACGAAAAGTCGAATAGATTAGGTTTTAGGGAGACCGGGTAATCCCTCTTCTTTACGCTGTCTGCCCACAAGTTTGGTCACAAATAGCGAAAATAACACTTCGAAGAAATCTTCCCATTTGCTAGAAAGGTTCCTAACGCCTACGTGAGTGCTATGGCTACTCATTGTGGACTAGCTAACAGTTCAAACTTATTCAAAAGATGAGGAAAGAACCAGTAGTCAATCATTATCAGCTACAGTTCCATGACAAAAGAACAAGTAGTCAATCATTATCGCCCAGAAATCTGTCTAAGATACAAAGGTAGAAAAAGGCAGCTGGTAGTGCATTAAGACTATCTAAGGAAAAGAATACTAAGAGATGCAAGTTACAGCCGCCAATAACGAGAACAGGTGTAACATCAGAGCATAATACGAGAAGCCTTTAACTACGTTTGGACTGTGTTTGAGAAAAAGGAAAGAAGCATGAGAGTATCAATGCCATCAGTCTTTGATTATTTCCTCAGCTTCTCGCTTCCTAATTAACAGATTTGGCGAGAGCTTCAGTCCCTAATTGAGCTACTGCTACTTGCACCTGTCTTCTTTCCCCTATAAGTCTGTTACAGCAAGATAAATGGAAATTAGTGCTTCATAAAAGAAGAGGGGTTAGAGAGAGAGAGAGAGAGAGAGAGAGAGGCAGGAAGCATTCCAGAGAAAAATAAAATTGGTTCATAAAGATAGCGGCACAAGGCATAGTAGTTTTGCCAAGAATACCCGCATCACTAACCTGTTTTCCAAAGCTGAATGGCACATATTTGTACTTAATCATGTGCATAATTTGGCGCTTCATCGTGAGGACAAATAGTACCAACCAATAGCAGAGTAATATTGGCCAGAACACAGGAACGTCAAATACTGAAAGGAAGGTCATCAGAAAAGCCACACAGAAAGCTTTTGTGATTGCATACCTAAAATCACCAAAACAAAACCTTTCAGATCACATTAGGAGCCTGATAAACAGGATATGCGTGCATGTTCAAGAATAGCAAGTTATACGGTGAACAATCATTGATAAAGAAAATAAGATATATGGTGAACCATGACACCCACCTAGAAGCTACATTGAGGATAGCGATGAAGTTAAGACAAAGGCAATGGCGTAAGTTTGCAGAAAAAAAATGTGTATCTCTCCCTTGAAAACAAGAAATTGTTGCATACTCCCTCTAGTAGTCCCAACCAATGTAAGGCCCACGAGCATGTGAGAGGGTGGGATGCGATTAAGGGTGCGTTTGTTTCACTGAAAATTTCATGATAAAGGAAAAATATAGTTTTCATTTGTTTGATGACTTAGAGAAAGTGATTTCCGTCTTGCTAGTAGGAGAAGTTGTTTTCCCCCAATCTAAGATTGTTGTTCTCATTACCGTAGATCAATTAGTTTTCCATTATCCAAACACCAAAAAGTCAGAAAACAATTTCCCAGAAACAGTTTTCTGTCAAACAAATGCACCCTAAACATCACCTGGTTTAACAAGAAAGTTCGAACAAAGTGATGAAATTGTGAATTGTGCTGACCCAAAATAAACTAATTGACATGCATTAAGCTTATTCTGAACAAGACAAATACCAAATCATGATTGTCCCTTCCATCACTTGCAGCTGTTATTCCATTACTTACATATGTTGTTCAATCTCCAGGCTTCTTCACAGTAAAGATAGCGCGACAATACAAGTAAACTAAAGATGCATACACTCAATCCATGCATATATCACTTATGATTTCAGCGTTCCACGTGATAGTGACGTCATTCTAATAATCATCAATTGCTCATGTCAAAACTAGAGGTTATCATTGGCCCCCGGTAGGACCCTCTGGTTGGGCCTAACTTGTTGCTTTGGTGGGCCAGTCCATCAACAACAAATATATAGATTTTTTGGGCCTAGATCGGGCCCAATCCAACCGGACTGGGCTTTATAACTAAAGGATGCCCAGGACCACCTAACAATTTGGCCTGGCAGGCCTGAATGGGCCCCTAGGCCACCAAACCATGATTGAGTTTAATCATGACACCATTTGATCGTCATTATTAGGGCTCCTATAGTAGAATCATTGATCTAAATTATATAGCATCAGCAAACAGGAGAGGCTTTCTAATATCCAAAAAATGGAAATGAGATGCATTTATCCATCTAGGATTACTCGCATTATTCTCCATCGCTCATTTCATTGGTAATTGAGATTAGAACAAATTGTGAGCCATTCTGAATGAACCATCTGTTAGAAAGTAAAATCTACAGGTGAAGGTGTTACCCAAGCAGCTTATTTTATCCTGCAAAAGATTAGCAATAAAGAAAATCCTCATCGCCTTGTTTTAGCATCAAGACAAATCTGCCCTCTTTAATTAAAAATTTTTTGGAAGATCTCCACCACTTTCGAGCGGTTGATTAGGTTCAAGGGAACTGGTCCCTAATGCAGCACAATTTAAAAACCTAAATCTTTTCATATTGTCTGACCGTGATAAGCAATGAGGTTTTATAACTATCTGCTGAAGGCAAAAGCCAATTTAATTGCCTAATAGTCACAGATATAAACTTTGATCTTGCTCCTTAATCACCAAATGATCACTTACAAAGGATGAGTACAAAAACACAGTCACTCATATGTATGATGAACATGGTCAAAAGACGATCTATACACAAGTCATAACCTACAAAACTTCGTCCAAAGAAGATAAAGTAGTAATGGTCCAGTTAGAGTCATCAACAACTTCGAATCTTTGCAAGAATTTATCTCAACACGAATACTAAGATTACTCCCACTACTAGTAAAGTCAGAAGAGAATTCAATATTTGAGAAGCAAATGATTTGTCTAAACCATAGGAGTGGAATTTCAGATTACCAGAACTTGAATTCAGGAAGGCGGCGAATGAAAGGCTTAAACTCATCCGATCCTTTCGTCGGTAACGAAGCCCCATCTGGGCCTTCTAACTCCGGATCAACCTTTGGCGAGAGGAACCCGATCAACAAGTTCAAGATATAGATTCCGAGTCCATACGAGACGATGTAAAACCCCTGAACATAGTAAACTCTCAACATGTAAATCAAAGCAGCAGCAAGAGTCCCCAGCCACCGCTGTACCGGGTGAGGGGTCGATCGATCCAGATAGTACTGGAACGCCCTCGAGAAATCGTTCCTCCACTTGGCCAGAGGCGCCACAGCCGCGCCACCATCGCCCCCACCTCCTTCCATAGAATTTCTAACTATTACCTTCCTGCAAGTCAGCAAAGAACACAACGTTATGAGGCACGCCAATCGCTTCGACTCGATAATCATCTACAGATACTGAGAAGGAGCTCCCCCCCCCGCCCTCCTTTTTAATTACTATTATTAAACCGTCAATTCGCAGTCGCAAAACCCAACTCATCCTCAACTCCCGAAAAGGGCTCAAGAAAACCAACCATCCGGCACCAAATTCAACGAAGCAACCAAGCAACACACCTAAGCCTCCACAATCACACCAAACGCGCGAAGAAGAATCCCTAGTCAATAACGGAGCTTCCTTGTCGACACCGCCAGCGAAAACCTAACCAAAAACCCGCGCCACCGCAGTACCAAAAAACGCCGTACGCAGGAGCTAATCGAACACGGAGAAACGCTCCAAGAACGGGCCCCGCACGAGCACGCGACGCATTTCCGCGCGCCGGCCACGAGGAACCGCAACCAGGGGCGAAATCGACGGGGAAAAACCGAAGGCGACGAAATTTAAAGACCGGCGAGGTCGTACCTTGCAGGGAGCAAGCGGCAGGGAGCTTCGGGCTATGGCGAGGCGGCAGGCGGTTGCTGTCGCCGCGAGACGAGGGGGACCGATACGGCGGGAGAAGCGATCCGATGACCACTCGTCGTTTCGATCTTTGGGCCAACGAGGAAGACGAAGATGCTCCCAAACAAGAAGTTAAACCGAGAAGAAAGAAGAGAGCAAATTCTGCAGGCTCGCGAAGGGGCGATCAAAAACGCGTGCTGGTGACGTCGTTTTTTAGGGATGGGATGGATTTTACGAGACGGCCCTTCGATATCTACCGGATATTCGACCCTGCCACTGACCTCCCGGATTATTTTCATCGGAGGGAAATGGGAAAATGGCACAAATTATTCCTACATTTTAGTTCAATACGCAATGTGGTACCTGAACTTTTTAATTTATTCAATGCGATCCTTAAACTTTAACCCAATGTGTAATGTCGTCTCCGAACTTTCAAATTTATTCAATGCGACTTCGAAATTACGATATATGTTCAATGTAGTTCTTAAATTATATGAAAAGTGTTTAATATTATCCCTGAACTTGAATTAATTGAAAGAATTAAATGAAGGACAATATTGAACACTCTTCATGGAGTGTCCTATCAAACGTTTTGCATATGCATATCAATTCGCATAAGTTTTAAAAATGGAAAAATTACCCAAAAAATCCTAAACTTAGGCCTAAACCTTTTTTTCCCAATTAAATCATAAACCTGTTTTTCCCAGTAGTCTGTGCGAAAGAAGCTAAGAATGACTCCAAACACAGATGCCCCCTCGCACCAAGGCAACTCTAACTCTGCAACAACTAGGATGAACAACTCAAAACTCAGTCAAACAAACTCCTGCAAACACAAGCACAGATCATCAATACACAAGCTGGCACTGGATTTTCCAAATTTCTGCAGAGATTAACAACCTCCAAAGGAATTGAACGAGAGCCGTTACGCAGTAGAGATTCAAATGATCCTCTGCGCGACAACGTAACGCTAGAGATCACTCTCTGTGTATTTGAGGATCAAGCGCATCACGAAGAGCCTCGTTCCTTCCCTTCCATAGAAAATAAGTAGCTGAATTTAGGAGCACACCCAACTTTTACCTTTAAGAATATTCATATTCCAAGAAAACTCAAATCTCTCAGCCACCAATGAGCCTCTAGATTCACCTCACAATAGAAGGATATAACCCCAAACCTGCCTAGAAGAGTTGCAATGCTAAAACAGATGCTTCTAGACTCTGGCTGCAATTTGCAAAGCTGACAAAGATCGTTCACATCACACTATTCTTTCCATCCAATCAGAAGTGGGCAATCTATTTAGGATGATTAACCAGTTAATAAAGCCAAATTTTTGGGAATTTTCGACCTGAACCAAATCAACCTGTGCCACTTGACTTTAGCACCTAGATCCCTCACCAAACTCCAGGCATCCTTTTGATTAAGCCCACCACTACCTGACGATTTTCTGGAATTTCGCCCCCATTATACCGAAAATTTGGTTAAAAATAATTTGACAAATTGGGTTAGGAGTGCATTGTAGACGCCCAATAGCAGTTCCAGAATGTAGCATTGTCCCGCTGAGGCAAACCTGCGGCAACCTCAAGTTAATCTCAAGCAAGAAGAGCGCTGCTTGCTATTGACATGCAAGGGGATTCAAGCAAAGGTTAGGAATGGAAGCCTTCACTCAATCTAACCAACCAAGTACTCGTCTTGACTGAAGACAGATGAAAATGCAATAACCAATTTGCATTTTCACAAATTTCAGCAGCTCCCACAGCATTTAACAAGCAAGGAGGGGGAACTTAATCCATCAAAGGCTTAAATATATGTTTCCAAGCTCTCACTACCAAGCTCAATGAATCCTTCAAGATATGAAAATGTAAAAATCGAGAATTCATACAGAGGAGGTCAACAAACATTAGCAGCTAAGGAAGGAGATGAATTGGATAACAGTCCAAAGACAGACAACCAAAAAACATTGATCACCAGTTGCCATCCACATTTTCTTGTCTCATCTCCGAAAGACATGCGCAAGACCTCTAACATAAGACAAGCGACGTGCAGACTCTGGCATGTTTAGATATCCATGGGAGCAGCACCTTCCTCAGCGGGGGTGGCTTCTCCTGCAGCAGTTTCCTGATCACCGGTATCCCCCGCTTCTGCAGCAGGCGGTTCTTCCTCCCCTACAATCTCAAACTCATCAATTAGTTGCTGTACCGTGTTCTGGTCCAATATATGGAACGACTCGCCTACTCCAACCACAGCGACAGTGCATATGGTACTCGTCAACCTCTCTCCTTGCAAAGTTTCCCTTATAGCAATGAGGGCATCTTTGACCAGATCCTCGCACTTGGAGTCCATGAAGTTCTCAAACCTACGTTCCAAGTATGTTTTTGCAGCTTGTGAGCGGGACCCGATGGCGAAAGCCTGATATTCAAAGTAGTTTCCACTCGGACAATTGTAATAGAGGTGAGCTCCAGATTCATCTAGTCCAGCTACCAAAAGACCAACACCATAAGGTCGTTTCCAGGAGCGTTGGGTGCAGACCTGCCAACATTTACTAGGTTATTACAGTCCAAGATATCTTTAGTCGCAAGAAATACTAAAACAAAAGTTAACAACCACAGAGAAACCCCCTACCCTGTAAGAAAGTGACCGTAGTACCACCCAAAATTTACAGGCTTCAATTGAATTAACTGAGGGATTAGATTTTGAGTATTATCACAACAATATCAGTTTCAATAGTTCTGATTGTCAAATAGCATCTCCAGCAGTTTGAACTTTGATTTAAAGTTGGTTGGGACTTGAGGCACAAACTACGCAGCTGGACTTCTTTTCCGTTATTTATCATGTCACTTTAGCATTTCTAGGAACATGAAACCCTGATAAGCATTCAAGTTGGTGCCATCTTCTCAAGGCATAGTCAGTACTGCACAGTTGATCATATCAACCCTAGTGTGCACTGCACAGCGGATTCTAAAACCATAGTCTGTACAGTCAGATTCTAAGCACAAAACTAAGGATTCTATGACAAAGCCACCAAGCGATACAATAAACTGCAGGCTATTGGCTCACAATCTTTAAAAGCAACATTTTCGCCCGGAAGTAGCAAGGCAGTCATGTGGATCATGCCTTTGAGATTGTTTTGGCATAAAATTCTGTGCGACAACATTAGTTAAATGATAACAATGTCTTGAAATAGAACCAATCACAATATGAATGTAGAAGCACTGCCCTCTAACAGTGTAATATTGGCAACTTATTCTCAGTAGAAAGGGTAGTACATCAAAAGTGCATGCAAAAAAAAATAAGAAAATTGGGACAATCCAGAAATGAGAGCAACAATCTTCTACTCGACTATATCCGAAGACAAAGCTTCCAGAAATGAAGTAGTCACCCAAATCTCTAGCAAAGGAGACAACGATGCATCCAAAAGTAGAAGGTACTAGAAAGTCTGTCATAAACCCTGTTTTTCGAATTCAGTTACTTTCTGATCCAATCAACAAATTCCAACAGATCCAGTATAGGCAATCAAAAGGGTAAAACTAAAGAAATGAAGGTAGAAGGGACCAGTGAAATAAGATGAATTAGTTTTATGGAAACCTAACGTTAGACATGAATTAGAAACTGCTTATAAGGCCTCCTATGTAGCGGTCGAACATGTATGAAATCATAAAAGTAGCGAGGAAAAACTACTGACAGCTGGAACAGAATTTACTAACGTAAAGTGCACTAAAAAAAAACTGCTACAGTTTGTTAACAATGTAAAAAGCCTAGGAGGACTAGGGACAAATTTCAAAAGCACAGCTAAGTCATGTTTATAATGAAAACATAGTTACATGTGCTGCAAGCATTGCAGACAGTTTAAAACACAAGCGCTTAGTTCAATTTCCGGTTCCTTTTTCATTGAATGTTTTATTTACTTATAGTCCCGCAATTTGGCCAGAAGATGAATGGATCATTTGTGAAAAAGTGAAGTCAAAACAAGAGAAGTCATGTCATTCAATGAGACTATGAAAGGATCATTCGTTTATGAAAATGTGAAGTCAAAACAAGCAAATCTCCCGTCATTGCGGCAACAAGAAGAAAATTATTGACATGTTACTGAGCTTTCCAATACAATCCAGGTGTGAGGCACAAACAGATAATAGATCTTTTGACAGTCAATGAAGGAGTTATAAGTTATATTTCCATCAACACGACAAAGTTCACCCAGAGCATCTGTCGGGCTGCTTAAATGTGTAGTGAACCTTCTCTTCTATATCTGTTTCAACCCATATTACTACAATCCAATTCCCTCCCGATACATTTGAAACAAAATCACAGATAAATTAACAGGAAGCGCCTACGTTAAGAAAAAGACTAAGAATTAAGCTTAAAAAGAACTGCCTTTTCCACATTAGGCAGGCTTCAGTCATCACAGTATGACACGGACTCCGAAAACTAAGCTCGTGCTCTTAAACCCCTTCAAAATCCCACCAAGTCCACACTCCATACTCCAGGACCCAGCAATCCCCAATTCCCTAACAACAGAACAAATTGCACACTCTTCACAGTTAATTCCAACCCATGCCGCCCTAAAACCCTAATGCCCCAAAGTCCCTCGATTCACGAAGCGAATCGCGGCGCAAATCACTAAACTGCAGAAACTATATACGAGAATTCCAATCCGCAACAAACAAACGAAATCACGCCAATCCAATCCAAATTGAGACAAATCACCTGAGCCTTGTCGGCCAGCTGAACCACCAGCCTCCCCACCGGGAGCGGCGACTCGTAGGTGAAGGCGTGGCTGATGCACTCGGAGCGCATGTACCGCGAGAGGACGCGGCCGTCGGCGGTGAGGCCGGCGATGGCGACGCCGATGTGGTCGTCGACCTTGAAGATCTTCTTCTGGTGGGAGGAGAGCTCGTTGTTGGCCTTGTTGACGCAGGCCAGGACGACGTGGGTCTTGGATCGGAGGCCGATCGCGGCGGAGCCCTGCTTCACGGCCTCCATGGCGTACTCGACCTGGAAGAGGCGGCCGGCGGGGCCCCAGGTGGTCACGTCCGTGTCGTACTGGTTCCTGAACATGGTTCCGAAGAAGGGCGAGGAGGAGGAAGGCGGCGCCGCGTCGAAGGGGCGGAGA